GGTTTTCCAAAACTTTGATTAAATTTTTATATGGTTTGCTAAATTATTACCAAAAACTTTTAAGTCATCCAAGTATACAAAGTAACTTTCGTGGTTTAGTAATAATATAACAACTGTCATAATTCTGGAAAAACTCAACTTGCTATTTAAATCAGGCCAGGTATGGGTGGGGCTTAAACTTTGGCTTTAATTTTGTATTCTTTGAACAACACGATACTCAAAAACATATATTTAAGTTCTCCTAGAGAAATAAGGATTTTGCGGTTAAAAATCACAATTGAGACAGGGCGGGTGGGTGGGGCTTATATTTTGCTATTTGTCTTAATATACGTAGTTATCTTTTCAGAACAAGAAACTTAAAGCATGTTTAAAATGGTTAATTCTTGTACACAAATATGGATTTTGCAATTAGGCTCCGCCCCTAGGTCTGACAACGAATGAAAACTTCATTACTATTTAGAAGATCAGGGTAGGTATGGGTGGGGCTTAATCTTTGGCTTTAATTTTTTCTTAATATACACAATATCCTTTGCAGTTAAATTCCGCTCCTTTGGCTTTCGACGATCGACGAAAAAAAAAATCATCACAATTGAGATGGGGCGGGTGGGCGGGGCTTATATTTTGCTTACTCTAAAACATATTTTTTATTTCTTGTATAAATATAAGGATTTTGCAATTACTTTTCAGAACAAAAAACTTAAAACATGTTTAAAATAGTAATTTTTTGACAAATCTCAAACCTGAAACATTGAAAACTCAAAAACCGAGAAATCGAAAATCCGAGAAATCGAAATTGAAGAATTGTAACATTGAGAAATCGAAATATCTAAAGATCGAGACATCGAGAAGTCGAGAAGTAGAAAAATATAAATTGCTCAAAATCGAAAAAATAGAAATTGAAACATTTAAACATAAAAACCCATAAATAAATGGAAAAATTGAAAACTCAAAATATCCAAATCTGGATGAATCGAGCGACCGAAAAACCGAATACATAATTAATTTTAAAACCGAAAAATTGAAAACTCCAAAAATGAGGAATTTTTAAAAACGAAAAATTGAAAAGCTGAAAAATCTCAAAGCGAAGCTGAAAAAACGAAAGTTCAAGAAATCGAAACACCAAAAACATGGAAAGTTTAAAATTTTAAAATTCGAAAAAAATTGAAAAATAGAACTGGAAAATCGAGAAATTGGACTATCTAAAATTTAAAATATCGGATAATTTTGAAAAATCGAAAAAGTAAATAAACAAAAAAATCAAAAAATTAAAAAATCCAAAAGTTCAAAAATCGGAAATTCGAAAAATCGAGAAATCGAAAAGTCAAAAAATGACGAGATCGAAAAATTTAAATATAGACAAGCAATCAAAAAATAAAAAAATTGTAAAATTTAAAAAATCAAATAATCTTGAAATGTCAATACATACTAAAAAAAATAAGTCGGGAAAACGATACATCAAAAATCGTAAAATCGAAAAACTAAAAAAACAAAAAAAAAATAGAAACCAAGAGAATGAAAATTCCAAAATTTAAAAACTCGAAAAACTTCTGGATGTCGAAACATCAAAAGACTAAAAAACCGACAAATCGAAAATGAATAAATTGAAAAATCGAAAATTTGGACACGCGAAAAATTGAAAATCAAAACATTTAACAACTGAAACATTAAAAACACGAAAAATACAAAATTTTAAAAATCCAAAAGCGAGAAGTCGTAAAAACGAAAGGTCGATAAATCGACACATCCAAGTGAAAAATCTAAAATTTAAAAATCCAATCAATCATTGTAAAACTAGTAAAAACGAAAAACTCAAAAATCGAAAAAATAACAAATCGAGAACTCAAAACCGCGAAATTGCGAAAAATCTAAGATCTAAAAAATCGAAAATTTTTGAAAAATCAAAAAAGTAAATTGAAAATGTCAACCAACCAAAATTGAAACATTGAAAAACTGGGAAATCCAAAAACTGAAAATTGAAAAATCGAAACAGCCCAAAATCAAAAACCTGACAAATTCGAAATTGAAACTTTTAAACTTCACAAAAACGCTAAATGGAAAAATAGAAAAATAGAAAACTCAAAATGTCAAAATCAAGATAAATCCAGCGACCGAAAATTTGAAAATCGAAAAGTTAAAAAACCGAATAATTTAAAAACCGAAAAACTGAAAACTCGAGAAATAAAAAATTTATGAAAAATGAAAAATCGAAAGGCCAAAAAATCTAAAAGCGAGAAGCCGAAAAATTAAAAGATCGAAAACTGAAAAATCCTGAAATTGAAAAATTCCCTAAATTGAAATCTTCAAAAATTGAGAGAAATCAAAAAAACGAAAACATTGATAAACTGAAATGTATATTAAAAAAACATCATCAGAATCGAGATAGGGCGGGTGGGCGGGGCTTATATTTTAGAAGAAACTTAAAACATGTTTAAATTGGTACATTTTTTCAACGAAATATGGATTTTGAAATTATGGGGCGGAGCGTAATTGTAAAATCGATATTTCCTTATACAAATTTTTCATTTTATTTCATCTTGTGAAAAGAAGTCTACACATATTAAAACAAAAAGATAAAATGTAAGCCCACCCACCCACCCTATCTCAATTGTGATGATTTTTTTATTCGCCGCATTAAAGAGGGCGGAGCTTAACTGCAAAATACTTATTTTTTTACAAGAAATTAAAAACATGTTTTTGAGTATCGTTCTGTTCAAAGAATACTATGATCATTGAGAAAAAAAGGCACAATATAAACCCCTCCCACCCACCCCATCTCAATTGCGATGATATTTTTATTACTAGATTTTTGATCACTCATTTTATTGGACGAAAGGTGTTTTTTTTTTTGATAAATAATGGAATCTATTATTCAGGAAAACTAAAACTAACCCCACCCACCTCCGTTTTTGAATTTCATTGGTTTATTTTATTTACTGTGAAATGACAATTGGATTTTATTTTAGCAAACAGATTAAAAAACTTAAGAATTACCCCACGTAGGAGGATTGCAAGTAAGTTCCACCTCTTGGCTCACGACGAATAAAAAAGTCATCACAACTGAGATCGGGCGGGTGGGCGGGGCTTATATTTTGCTTTTTTTTCTTAATATTCATAGCAATCTTTTCACAACAAGAAACTTAAAACATGGCTAAGATGTTCCTTACACAAATTTTTCATTTTAAGCTTATTTTAAGTGTCATGCTGTGAAAAGAAGTCTACACAACATATTAAAACAAAAAGACAAAATGTAAGCCCGCCCACCCGCCCTATCTCGATTGTAATGATTTTTTTATTCGCTGTGAACCAAGGGGGCGGAGTTTAACTGCAAAATACTTATTTCTTGACAAGAAATTAAAAACATGTATTTGAGTATCGTGTTGTTCAAAGAATACTTTGTATGTTAAGAAAAAAAGACAAAATATAAACTCCGCCCACCCACCCCATCTCAATTCTGATGATTTTTTTTATTCTTAGATACTTAAAACACATTTAAAATGGTAAATTTTTGTGGAGAAATAATAAGGATTTTGGAATCAAATTCCGCTCCTTTGGCTATCGACGATTAAAAAAAATTATCACAATTGAGATAGGGTGGGTGGGCGGGGCTTATATTTTGCCTTTCTTCTTAATATACTTAGTCGTCTTTTCAGAACAAGAAACTTAAAACATGTTTAAAATGGTAAATTTTAAAAATCTAAAATTGAAAAAATCTGAAAACTTAAAATTCCAAACATTGAAGGACTTCACATTGAAAAAAAATTTATAAAATCAGAAGATTGAAAAAAACTCAAAATTAAAATATAAAGAAAAAACAAAAAGAAAAAATTGCAAATCGAAAAATTGAAAAATTAAATTTTGAAAATTCGTGAAAATTTAAATTTAAATAATTAATGAAATTTTACATTGAAAAAAAGAAAATTTATAAAATCAGAAGATTGAATAATCTAAAAATTGAAAAAATTGAGAGAATTAAAATCCGAAACGAAAAACTGAAGAAATGAAAAATTGCAAAATCGAAAAATTAAAAATTGAAAAATCGAAAAACTAAAAGATTGGATAAATTGTATAATTGAAAAAGTGGAAAATCTAAAAACTCAAAAGTCGTATAAATGAAAAAGTTTTAAAATCCAATGAATAATTGAAAACTGAAAAAATTCAATCAAATTAACAATCCACATTTTATTAGTTCCCATTCTTACTCTACAAGAGAACATATAATTAACCTCGCCCACCCACCCTGCATTTTAGTGAAAAATCGTTTGAATGAGAACAGGTCGGGCGGGCGGGCGGGGCTAGTATGGTAAAACTGACTTTGGTAAATGAGTTATCCTCTAAGAAAATAAACGGGTGGGTGGGCGGGGCTAGTACTTGCTAAGATAAGACTGACTGTGGAAAATTACATACCATGTAAGAAAAAAGAGGGCGGGTGGGCGGGGCTAGTATTTCTTAAGGTTTTCCAAAACTTTGATTAAATTTTTATATGGTTTGCTGAATTATTACCAAAAACTTTTAAGTCATCCAAGTATACAAATTAACTTTCGTGGTTTAGTAATAATATAACTACTGTCATAGTTCTGGAAAAACTCGACTTGCTATTTAAATTAGGGCAGGTATGGATTTTGAAATTAAGCCCCGCCCCTCGATCTGACAACGAATGAAAAATTTATCATCATTGAGAACTGAGATCGCGGCGGGTATGGGTGGGGCCTAATCTTTGGCTTTATTTTTCTTAATATACATGGCATTCTTTGAACAACACGATACTAAGTTTTTAATTTCTCGTAGAGAAATAAGGATTTTGCAGTTAAGCCCTGCCCCCTTGGCTCACGACCAATAAAAAAATCATCACAATTGAGACGGGGTGGGTGGGCGGGGCTACATTTTGGCCTTTTTTTCTAAATATGTGTAGACTTATTTTGACAATAAGAAGCTTAAAACATATCTAAACCTATGGGGTATTGTCAGCTCAGAAAATTCACACAAATTTAAAAAAGACGCACCTTTTCGCAGAGAATCTTCACACACGTCACGCTCCCAGAAAGACAGGCCAGATGTAGCGGCGTCGACCCAAAATTATCCGCCCTTTGAAAATTGGCGCCTGAGTACACCAACAACCTTATTAAATCGGCGTGCCCTTTGTAGGCCGCCCAGTGCATCGCCGTGTCTCCGTTGATGTCCACCAGGTGGTTGAGCGCCCCCATGCCCAGCAAAAACGCCGCCGTCGCCGTCCTCCCGAACATGCACGCCGTCATCAGCGGCGTCAGCCCCTTGAAATCCGCCGCGTTCACCCCAACTCCCGCTTGCAGCAAGACCTGGACCACCGCAGCGTGTCCCTTCCGGCAAGCCCAGTGGATGGGTCTGGGGCCTTGGGTGCCCAGACACGGCAAGTCGATCGGGGCGCCCCGGTCCACCAGGTAGCGCATGATTTCCACGCTGCCGTCCAAGGCGGCCCAGTGGGCCGGGGTGTAGCCCCATTCGTCGCGCTCGCGCAGGATCTGGGTGCCGAGGGAGTCCACCAGGTCCTCGATTTCGGAGAGTTCGCTACGAAATAATATTAAGTTTGGAGCGGAGACACGCAAGCATTGATCGCGTGGGCGAACTTACCCCGATTTGACGACGTCGAAGATGGATTTGTGCGATGGTTCGGTTATATCGGCCTCAGTGTTGTCCTTGTCGTTGACGGAAGCCGCAGGGTGGTCGGTGTCTGCTACCATGTTGCAGGAAGTCTGGGGCAAAGCCCATACGCTACGGGCCGTCCCCGGACTTGGGTACACTTTGCAGAGCGTTCTGACGACTGTTTACCACTTCGGTGTAAATTATTTATGATTGATTTAATGCAGATATTTGCCTAGCGTGGTCAATTGTTTCACGGGGTATTGATTTGTGGCGGGAGCGCGCGCAGGGAAGATTGACAGATAGGGAAGCGGTGGGTTTGAGCACGGGATCGAGCTTAGGGAAGTTTTAAATTTTTAAAATTTTTTGATACACTAGATATTTTTTTTTTGTAAATAAAGAGCAGAAGGAACGCAGGATAGGATGGAAAAGGATATACGATGTTGTAACTGGTGGCAGATTATCTATATTTTAACACAAAATGTCAGTCAATTGACCCCATTTTAACCATTCCTTTGGAAACATTTTGAAAGTTATAAACGCGGTTTTCACATTAATTTGAAAAAATGTTTGACGGAGATTTCTACAATCTGACACCAAATTTTAGTCAATTGAACTCATTTTAACAATTTTTTTTTTAAAACTTTGAAAATTTTTGAACTCACATTTCACGTTTATTTAAATCGATGTCATAATGGCGATTTTGGATTCGTAATTAGCGGAAGATTATCTACAATTTGACACCAACTTTGAGTCGATTGAACTCATTTTAACCATTTTTTTGGGAAAATTTTGAAAATTTGTAATTGACTTTTCTAATTTATTTGAATAGGTATCGTGACGCCCATTTCGGATTCGTAATTAGCTGAAAATTATCTACAATTTGGGATCAATTATCAATCCACTGAATTCATTTTGACAGTTTTTTTGGAAAAATTTTGAAAATTTTGGTTCCATTTTTTACATGTATGTATTTGAATAGATATCGTGCCTGCGATTTCGGATTTCTGTTTAGTGGAAGACTATCTACAATTTGACACCCATTTAGAGTCAATTGAACTCATTTTAACAAGTTTTTTGGAAATATTTTGAAAATTTTGAAATCACCTTTCACATAGGTTTGAATAGATGTCATGACGCCGATTTCGAATTCGTAATTAGTTGAAAATTATCTACAATTTGGAGCCAATTTTCAGTCAATCATTTTAATATTTTTTTTTTGGAAAAATTTTGGAAATTTTAGACTCGCATTTCTCGTTTATTTGAATAGATATCGTGACGGCAACTTCGAATTCGTAATTAACTGGATATTATCTACAATTTGGTACAAATTCTCAGCCGATTTAACTCATTTTAACCATTTTTTTGGAGAATTTTTGAAATTTTGAAGTCGCTTTCCACGTTTATTTGAATAAATATCTTGACTGGGATTTCGGATTCCTATTTAGTGAACGATGATCTGCAATTTAATATCAACTTTGAGTTGATCGAAATCATTTTAATCATTATTTTGGAAAAATTTGGAAAATTTTGATTTTATTTGTAACATGTAATTGACTAGGTATAGTGACGCCAACTTCAAATTCCTAATTAGCTGAAGATTATCTACAATTTGACACTAACTTTCAGTCGATTGAACTCATTTTAACTACTTTTTTGGAAAAATTTGAATTCACTTTTTACACTTATTTGAATGAATATCTTGACGCCGACTTAAGATTCATAATCAGCTGAAGGTTATCTACAGTTTGGCACCACTTTTGAGACGATGGAACTCATTTTACCCATTTTTTTGGAAAATTTTGAAAAATTTGAAATCGCTTTTCTCATTAATTTGAGTAGATGTCGTGATACCGACTTTAGATTCGGAATTAGCTGAAGATTATCTACAATTTGACACCAACTTTCAGTCGATTGAACTCATTTTAAGCATTTTTTTGGAAAAATTTTGAAAATTTTGAAATCTCTTTTCACATTTATTTGACTAGATGTCGTGATTCCGACTTGTGATTCGTAACTAGCTGAAGATTATCTACAATTTGACACAAAGTTTCAGTCGATTGAACTCATTTTAAACAATTTCTTGGAAAAATTTTGAATTCAATTTTCACATTTATTTGAATAGGTATCGTGACGCCAATTTTGAATTCATAATTAACTGAAGATTATTTATATTTTGGGACCAATTCTCATTCGACAGAACTCATTTAAACTGTTTTTTTGGAAAAATTTTGATTTCATTTTTCACATTTATTTGAATAGATATCGTGACGCCATTTCCGAATTCGTAATTAACTGAAGATTATTTACAATTTGGCACCAAATCTCAGTCAACTGAACTAATTTGAGCTATTTTTTTGGAAAAATTTTGAAAATTTTGAAATCTCTTTTCACATTTATCTGACTAGATGTCGTGATGCCGACTTTTGATTCGTAACTATCTGAAGATTATTTACAATTTGACACCAACTTTAAGTCGATTGAACTAATTTTAACCTTTCTTTTTTTTTGGAAAAATTTTGAAAATTTTGCATTCAATTTTCACATTTATTTGAATAAATATCGTGACGCAATTCTGAATTCATAATTAATTGAAGATTATTTACAATTTAGGACCAATTATCATCCGACAGAACTCATTTTAACTGTTTTTTTTGAAAACATTTTGAATTTATTTTTCAGATTTACTTGATTAGATATCACGAATACGATTTCGGATTCTTATTTAGTGGAGGATTATCTACAATTAGACACCAACTTTTAGCCGATTGAACTCATTTGAACCATTTTTTTGGAAATTTTTTTAAAATTTTGTATTCACTTTTCATATTTATTTGAATAAATATCTAGACGGCGACTTTAGATTCGTAATCAGCTGAAGAGTATCTACAATTCGGCATCAAATTTTAGTCGGTTGAACTCATTTTAACCATTTTTTTGGAAAAATTTTGAAAATTTCGAATTCACTTTTCACATTTATTTGAATAGATATCGTGACGCCAATCCCGAATTTGCAATTAACTGAAGATTATTTACAATTTAGGACCAAATCTCATTCGACAGAACTGATTTTAACTGTTTTTTTGGAAAAATTTTGAAAATTTTGAATTCAGTTTTCACATTTATTTGAATAGATATCGTGACGCCAATTCTGAATTCATAATTAACTGAAGATTATTTACAATTTAGGACCAATTCTCATTCGACAGAACCCACTTTCACTGTTTTTTTGGAAAAATTTTGAAAATTTTGATTTCATTTTTCACATTTTTTCAATAGAAATCGTGACTGCGATTTCGGATTCCTGTTTAGTGGAAGACTATCTACAATTTGACGCCAACTTTGTGTTGATTAAACTCATTTTAACCACATTTTTGGAAAAATTTTGGAAAATTGGAATTCGCTTTTTACATTTATTTGAATAAATATCTTGACACTGACTCCAGATTCGTAATCAGCTGAAGATTATCTATAGTTTGCCACCACTTTTGAGACGATGGAGCTCATTTTACCTATTTTTTTTGAAAAATTTTGAAAATTTGGAAATCATTTTTCACATTTATTTGACTAGATGTCGTGATTCCGACTTTTGATTCGTAACTAGCTGAAGATTATCTACAATTTGACACAAACTTTCTGTCGATTGAACTCATTTTAAACAATTTTTTGGAAAAATTTAGAAAATGTTTTCATTCAATTTTCACATTTATTTGAATAGGTACCTATCGTGACGCCAATTTGGAATTCGTAATTAACTGAAGATTATTTACAATTTGACACCAAATCTCAGTCGATTCAACTAATTTGAGCTATTTTTTGGAAAAATTTTGAAAATTTTGCATTCACTTTTCATATTTATTTTAATAAATATCTTGACGCAGACTTTAGATTCGTAATCAGCTGAAGATTATTTACAGTTTGGCACCACTTTTGAGACGAAGGAACTCATTTTTCCAATTTTTTGGGAAAAATTTTGAAAATTTTGAAATCACTTTTCACATTTATTTGACTAAATATCGTGACGCCATTTCTGAATACATAATTAACTGAAGATTCTTTACAATTTTGGGACCAATTCTCATTCAACAGAACTCATTTTAACTGTTTTTTTGGAAAAATTTTGAAAATTTTGATTTCATTTTTCACTTTTATTTGAATAGATATCGTAACGCCATTTCCGAATTCGTAATTAACTGAAGATTATTTACAATCTGGCACCAAATCTCCGTAGATTGAACTAATTTGAGCCATTTTTTTGAAAAAATTTTGAAAATTTTGGATTCACTTCTCATATTTATTTGAATAAATATCTTGACGCTGACTTTAGATTCGTAATCGGCTGAAGATTATCTTCAATTTGGCACAAATTCTCAGTCGACTGAACTTATTGCAACCATTTTTTTGGAAAAATTTTGAAAAGTTTGAATTCACTTTTTACATTTATTCGAATATATATCTTGACGCCGACTTTAGATTCGTAATCAGCTGAAGATTATCAACAGTTTGGCACCACTTTTGAGACGATGGAACTCATTTTACCTATTTTTTTTGAACAATTTTGAAAATTTTGAAATTACTTTTCACGTTTATTTGAGTAGTTGTCGTGATGCCGACTTTGGATTCGTAACTAGCTGAATATTATCTACAATTTGACACCAATTTTTAGTCGATTGAACTCATTTGAACCATTTTTTTGGAAAAATTTTGAAAATTTCAAATCCACTTTTCACATTTATTTGAATAGATATAGTGACAGCGGTTTCAAATTTTTGTTTAGTGAAAGACTATCTACAATTTGACACCAACTTTGAGTCGATTGACCTCATTTTAACCACTTCTTTGAAATTTTTTTGAAAAAATGGAGTTCACGTTTTACATTTATTTGAATAAATATTTTGACACCGACTTTAGATTCGTAATTAGCTCAAGATTATCTACAATTTTTCACCAATTTCCAGTTGATTAAACTTATTTTAACCATTTTTTTGGAAACATTTTGAAAATTTTGAATTCACATTTCACGTTTATTTGAATTGATGTCGTGACGGCGGTTTCAGATTCGTAATTAGCGTCAATTTATCTAAAATTAACACCAATTGTGAGATCATTTAACCCATTTCAACCATTTCTTTGAAAAATTAGATAAAATAGCTATAAAACTTCTAAATTTGTGTTTATCAAACCCACTTTTTACGGCCAATGCTTGCATATTATCTTGAATTTCTAATGCACTGTTATCACCATATAAAAACACGCTATCTTCATAAAATGCGTAATTTTATTCGTAACAACAACAACAACAACAATAAATCTTTCAAACCACTTAAACTCGGACAGGCTTTGACGCACAAGCCACTAAAGCGCTATAAAAAAAATGCACATTTTCACCTTCACTACTATTTTCTATGCGCAACTCGTTACAATTTTCGATCGTTTCTTTAAAATCTGCAACGAATTTCGTCCGCTCGTCTTGCGAATCCACCTTCAGGATAGGAACCACGGCCAAACCAAAGTCTGAAAATACGAATCTAACAATGGAAAAAAAACACAAAGTCTACAGTTCTACACACCCAAAAAATGTTTTAACCCACCATAGATGAATTCGCGTTTCTCGTATTTGCAAATTTGAACATCGAAACCGGCGTGTTCCAAAAACAATCTGAGCTTGTCTTCAGGGTTGTCCAAACCACGATACGGAGAAAAACTCTTTGCGTAGTCCGCCATAGCTTTTGGCCACTTGTTGTCTTTGACCATAGTTTCGCAAATGTCAAAAAAGGACGAGTTTACGATCAGTGTGGCCAAAAAAGTTCCTCCGGGTTTCAGCATGTCTAAAATATTTTTCATGGCTTTTGGTGTTCTGAAAAACATATATGGAATCGCCAAAAATCCAGTGTTTTACGTACTTTTCCTCTGGAACGTTATTCAAACAATAAAACGAAAAAATGTGATCGAAATAGCCTTTGAAGGATTTGTTGGAGTGGACTATGTCCATCTGAATGGTTTCGATTCGCTCGTCGTGGAACCTGTTCTTAGCGAAATCCACCATTTTTTTGGATTTATCGGAAACCACGAGTTTTTTGAAATTTGGCAACCGTGGAAGCAACACTTCAAGGGTCACTAAGCCATCACCAGCACCCACGTCTAGAACTGCAGCGTTGCCTTTCACGTTGACTTGACTTAAGTAAGTGGTGAGGAAATAATTGGCGTCAAATCGCTGCATTTGACAGTTTTTTGAGTAAAGAAAGGGGTCTTCGTTCATTTTTGTGGTTCGCGACGGAATGCACTGCAATTTTATTAGACACTGATAAGAATGCACGTCTGATAAACAACAAGTGACGTAACCGTTGCAAACTGCACATGCATTTCATTGACCTTTCTAGTATGCATTACAGATTCCTATATTTTGACAGAAACGAAAATAAATTACTTAAAAAATAATTTATTCACAACAATGTATTTTTAAAGTTGTTTAGACAGATTTTGAGGCACAAGCCACCAAAACGCTATAAAAATAATGAACTTTGTCATCACTCCGAGTACTTTTGTCACTGGTTGCCAGTTGGTGTTTTCTGATCGTTTCTTTAACATCTTCAGCAAATTTCGCCCGTTCATGTCTTGACTCGACCTTCAGAACAGGAAATATCGACAACGCATTTTAACCATTTTTTTGAAAAAATTTTGAAAAATTTGAAATCACTTTTCACGTTTATTTGATTAGATGTCGTAACTGCGACTTTTGATTCCTATTTAGTGCAGGATTGTCTACTAAATGAAACCAACTTTGAGTCGATTGAACTCATTTTAACCACTTTTTGGAAAAATTTTGAAAAATTTGAATTTACTTTGTACATTTATTTGAATAAATATCTTGACGCCGACTTTAGGTTCGTAATCAGCTGAAAATTATCTAAGTTTGACATTGCTTTTGAGACGATGGAACTCATTTTATCTATTTTTTTGGAAAAATTTTGAAAATTTTTAAATCACTTGTCACATTTATTTGACTAGATGTCGTGATGCCGACTTTTGATTCGTAACTATCTGAAGATTATCTACAATTTGACACCAACTTTCAGGCGATGGAACTGATTTTAACCATTATTTTCGAAAAATTTTGAAAATTTTGCATTCAATTTTTACATTTATTTGAATAGATATCGTGACGCCAGTTCTGAATTCATAATTAACTGAAGATTATTTACATTTTGGGACCAATTTTCATTCGACAGAACTCATTTTAACTGTTTTTTTGAAAAAATTTTGATTTCATTTTTCACATTTATTTGAATTGATATCGTGACGCCATTTCCGAATTCGTAATTAACTGAAGATTATTTAAATTTGGCACCAAATCTCAGTCAATTGAACTAATATGAGTTATTTTTTTGGAACAATTTTGAAAATTTTGAAATCTCTTTTCACATTTATTTGACTAGAAATCGTGATGCCGACTTTTGATTCGTAACTATCTGAAGATTATTAACAATTTGACAGCAACTTTCAGTCGATTGAACTCATTTTAACCTTTTTTTTGAAAAAATTTTGAAAATTTTGCTCTCAATTTTCACATTTATTTGAATAGATATCGTGACGCCAATTCTGAATTCATAATTAACTGAAGATTATTTACAATTTGGGACCAATTCTCAAACGACAGAACCCATTTTAACTGTTTTTTTTGGGAAACATTTCAAAAATTTTGATTTCATTTTTCGCATTTATTTGAATAGATATCGTGATGTCATTTCGGAATTCGTAATTAACTGAAGATTATTTACAATTTGGCACCAAATCTCGCTCGATGGAACTAATTTGAGCTATTTTTTTGGACAAATTTTGAAAATTTTGAAATCTCTTTTCACGTTTAATTGAATGGATATCGTGACTACGATATCGGATTCCTATTTAGTGAAGCACCGTCCTAGATATGACACCAACTTTGAGTCGATTGAACTCATTTTAACCATTTTTTTGGAAAAATTAAAAAAAAATTGAATTCAGTTTTTACATTCATTTCAATAAATATCTTGACGCCAACTTTAGATTCGTAATGAGCTGAAGATTATCTACAGTTTGGCACCACTTTTGATACAATGGAACTCATTCGACCTATTTTTTTGGAAACATTTTGAAAATTTTGAAATCACTTTTCTCATTTATTGGAGTAGATGTCGTGATACCGACTTTGGATTTCTAACTAGCTGAAGATTATCTACAATTTGACACCAAGTTTCAGTAGATTGAACCAGTTTTAACCATTTTTTTGGAAAAATTTTGAAAATTTTGAAATCACTTTTTACATTTATTTGAATAGATTTCGTGACTGCGATTTCGGTTTTCTGTTAAGTGAAAGACTGTCTATAATTTGACACCAATTTTGCGTAGATTGAACACTTTTTAACCACTTTTATGGAAAAATTTTTAAAGATTGGAATTTGCTTTTTACATGTATTTGAATAAATATCTTGACGCCGACTCCAGATTCGTAATCAGCTGAAGATTATCTACCGTTTGACACCACTTTTGAGACGATGGAGTTTATTTTACCTATTTTTTTGGAAAAATTTTGAAAATTTTGAATTTACTTTCACATTTACTTGAACAGATATCGCGACTACGATTTCGGAGTCCAGTTTAGTGAAAGATTATCTACAATTTGACACCAACTTTTTGTCGATTGAACTCATTTTAACCATTTTTTTTGAAAATTTTGAACTCACATTTTACGGTTATTTGAATAGGTGTCGAGACCGAGATTTCGGATTCCTATTTAGTGGAAGACTATCCTCAATTTGACACCGACTTTGAGTCGATTGGACTCATTTTAACCATTTTTTTGGAAATATTTTGAAAAATTTGAATACACTTTTCACATTTATTTGAATAGATAACGAAATGCCGATTCCGAATTCGTAATTAAATGAAAATTATTTACGATTTGGCACCAAATTTTAGTCGATGGAACTAATTTCAGGCATTTTTTTTGAAATTTTTTAAAATTTTGAATTAAATTTTCACATTTATTTGAATAGATATCGTGGCTGCATTTCGGATTCTTGTTTAGTGGAAGACTATCTACAATTTGACACCAAATTTGAGTCGATTGGACTCATTTTAAGCATTTTTTTGGAAATATTTTGAAAATTTTCAATTCACTTTTCACATTTATTTGAATAGATATCGTGTCTGCGATTTCGGATTCTTGTTTAGTGGAAGACCATCTACAATTTGACACCAACTTTGAGTCGATTGGACTCATTTTAACCATTTTTTTGGAAATATTTTGAAAATTTTGAACTCACATTTTATGGTTATTTGAATAGGTGTCGAAACACCGACTTCGGATTCGTAATTAGCCAAAGATTAACTACAATTACACAGGAATTTTCAATCCACTGACCTCATTTTAACCACTTTTTTGGAAAAATTTTGAAAAGTTTGGACTCACATTCCACGTTTATTTGAATAGATGTCGTGACTGCGATACCGGATTCTCATTTATTGTAAGACGACCTACAATTTGATATCAACTTTGAGTCGATTGAAATCATGTTAACCATTTTTTTGGAAAAAGTTGGAAAATTTTGATTTCGTTTGCAACATGTAATTGACTAAGGATCGTGACGCCAATTTCGAATTCGTAATTACCTGAAAATTGTCTACAATTAGTCACTAATTCTCAGGACGTTGACCTCATTTTAACAATTTTTTGGGAAAAATTTTGAAAATTTTGTACTTAAATTTCACGTTTATTTACATTGATGTCGTGACGCCGATTTCAGATTCGTAATTAGCGCAAAATTATCTACAATTAACACTAATTATGAGATCATTGAACCCATTTCAACCATTTGTTTGAAAAATTAGACAGAAGGACATTTTCTAGTTTTGAAATGGCAGCAATAAAACTTCTAAATTTGTGTTTATCAAGCCCACTTTTTGAGGCCAATGCTTGCACATTATCTTCAATTTGAAATGCACTGTTATCACCATGTAAAAACACGCTATTTTCATAATATACGTAATTTTATTAGTAACAACAAAAACAACAATAAATCTTTCAAGTGACTCAAACTCGGACAGGCTTTGACGCACAAACGACTAAAGCGCTATAAAAAAAATGCACTTTTTCACCTTCACTACTATTTTCTATGCGCAACTCGTTACAATTTTCGATCGTTTCTTTAAAATCTGCAACGAATTTCGTCCGCTCGTCTTGCGAATCCACCTTCAGGATAGGAACTACGGCCAAACCAAAGTCTGAAAATACGAATCCAACAATGGAAAAAAAAAACACAAAGTCTACAGTTCTACACACCCAAAAAATGTTTTAACCCACTATAGATGAATTCGCGTTTCTCGTATTTGCAAATTTGAACTTCGAAACCGGCGTGTTCCAAAAACAATCTAAGCTTGTCTGCAGGGTTGTCCAAACCACGATACGGAGAAAAACTCTTTGCGTAGTCCGCCATAGCTTTTGGCCACTTGTTGTCTTTGACCATACTCTCGCAAATGTCAAAAAAGGACGAGTTTACGATCAGTGTGGCCAAAAAAGTTCCTCCGGGTTTTAGCATGTCGAAAATATTTTTCATGGCTTTTGGTGTTCTGAAAAACATATATGAAATCGCCAAAAATCAAGTGTTTTACGTACTTTTCCTCTGTAACGTTGTTCAAACAATAAAACGAAAAAATGTGGTCGAAATAGTCTTTGAAGGATTTGTGGTAGTCGACGATGTCCATCTGAACGGTTTCGATTCGCTCGTCGTGGAACCTGTTCTTAGCGAAATCCACCATTTTTTTGGATTTATCGGAAACCACGAGTTTTTTGAAATTTGGCAACCGTGGAAGCAACATTTCAAGGGTCACTAAGCCATCACCAGCACCCACGTCTAGAACTGCGGCGTTGTCTTTCACGTTTACTTGACTTAAGTAAGTGGTGAGGAAATAATTGGCGTCAAATCGCTGCATTTGACAGTTTTTTGAGTAAAGAAAGGGGTCTTCGTTCATTTTTGTGGTGCGCGACGGAATGCACTGCAATTTTATTAGACACTGATAAGAATGCACGTCTGATAAACAACAAGTGACGTAACTGTTGCAAACTGCACATGCATTTCATTGACCTTTCTAGAATGCATTACAGATTCCTATATTTTGACAGAAACGAAAATAATTTACTTAAAAAATAATTTATTCACAACAACGTATTTTTAAAGTCGTTTAGACAGGTTTTGAGGCACAAGCCACCAAAACGCTATAAAAATAATGAACTTTGTCATCACTCCGAGTACTTTCGTCACTGGTTGCCAATTGGTGTTTTCTGATCGTTTTTTTAACATCTTCAGCAAATTTCGCCCGTTCATCTCTTGACTCGATCTTCAGAACAGGAAATATCGACAAAGCATAATCTAAAAACCCCCATCAACATGGTCGGAAAAGTCAAAATTCGACATAGATACCCGCAAACTGGTTCAAATATTCATAGGTGAACTTTCTTTCCTCGTATTTGCAAAATTGAACATCAAAACCGGCGTTTTTCAGAAAACAGGTAAGTTTTTCTGCAGGATTGTCGCAACCTCGGTACGGAGAAAAAAAATTTTTGTAGTTTGCCATAGCCGGTGGCCAAATCTTGTCGTTGATCATGCTATCGCAAAATTCATAGAGGGATGCATCCACTATGATAGTCGCAAAAAAATTTCCTCCGGGTTTCAAAATTTCGAAAATGTTTCGCATTGCGTCTGGGGTCCTACGACATTCTTAAAATTTCAAAAATAAATTGTTGGCACTTACCTCGCCTCTGGAATGAGATTCAAACAATGAAAGGTGAAAATGTGGTCGAAATGGTCTTTGAAAGCTTTGTCGTAGTCGAGGATGTCCATCTGAATGACCTCGATTCGTTCATCGTGGAATCTGTTCTTAGCGAAGTTTATCATTTTTTTTGACTTGTCGGAAACCACGAGTTTGTGGAAGTTTGGCAACCGGGGAAGTAGAGCTTCAAGGGTTACTGAAGCATCGCCAGCACCCAAATCCAAAACTGTGGCGTTGCTTTTCACATTTAGTCGTTTGAAATAAGTGTCAAGGAAATGGTTGGTGTCAAATTTCTGCATTTGACAACTTTTTGAGTAGAGATCGGGGTCTTCGTTCATTTTGATTTGTTTTGAGACAGCGCGTGCCGAAAGAGTTCATCGTGATTTTATTAGAATTTGATAACAATGCATTTACGCAACTGCTTTAAATTGCATATGGGCTAAAGTTGACCTTGGTGGAATACAATGGTAACACAAATTAACAAGTAGAAGTGGGGATAACTGGAACGAAAATTTCGTTCTTTAATTTAACAGTTATAAATAAATAAAATGGCATTGGAATAACTTAATTGCGACTCAGTTGTGTGTGTTTTGACATTTAATTTTTGTTTGTTTGTCTAAGCCAATTTTTTTTGATACTCGATAATTCTTTTTTGAGATTTTTGTAGACCTTTTTTTTCTTAATTCATTAACGTACTTACTACATTATACTTTAATTACCTATACCCTGTCAAAACAGACACCAGACAGACAGACAGACAGACGAACGGAAATGGGAGTAATTTAGGGGTCAAAAACGTCGATAAATATGAAAGTAGCAATTCGTCAGATGGACTCGTCTACTATCATTTATTTATACCATTTTAGGATAGTTTAAAAAATCTTGTATTTTAAATCATATTCCCATTGCCTTTCATTGATTTATGAGAGCCTGATGTGCTCCTGTTGTCCGAAACTTTTTGAAATAGACTGTATTAGATCACTCCCTGCTCGTGATGTCTTATCTTTGAAGTACTTTGAAAGAATGTCGGGGACTCCCTTTGTTGTGTTTTTGAAGTAGTTTGAAAGAATTTTGAGGATCTCTTGTCTTGTTTTTAAGCTAATTTGAAAGAATTTCGGGCACCTTTTTGTTTTGTTTTTGAAGTAGTTTGAAACAAGTTTGTGGATCTTTCGTCCTGCTTTTGAAGTACACTGTTTGAAAGAAACGCGGAAATCTCTTGTGCTTTATTTTTAAAGCAGTTTGAAAGAACTCCAGGGGTCCCTTGTGTTTGGTTTTTGAAGTAGTTTCAAAGAATCTTGTGGATCTTTTGTCATGTTTTTAAGATAATTTTAAAGAATGTCGGGGATCTTTTCGTTTTCTTTTTGAAGTAGTTTGAAAAAATCTCGGGGACCGCTTGTGCTTACTTTTTAAAGTAGTTTGGAAAAATCTCCATGGTTTTTTAAGCCTAGTTTTTTAAGTAGTTTGGAAGAACCTGCGGGACCCTTTTGTTTTGTTTTTGAAGTAGTTTGAAACAAGCTTGGGGATCTTTCGTCTTCTTTTTGGAGTACATTGTTTGAAAGAATCTCGGAAATCCCTTGTGTTTTGTTTTTAAAGCAGTTTGAAAGAACCCCAGGGGTTGCTTGTGCCTGGTTTTTAAAGTAGTTTCAAAGAATATTAGGGAACCCTTGGCTTGTTTTTGCAGTAGTTTGAAAGAAATATTGAGGAACTCTTATTATGTTTTAAGATAATTTTAAGGAATCTCGGGGACCTTTTTATTTTCTTTTTGAAGTAGTTTGAAAGAATCTCGGGGACCGCTTGTGCCTACTTTTTAAAGTAGTTTGAAAAAATCTCCAGGGTTTTTTAAGCCTAGTTTTTTAAGTAGTTTGAAAGAATCTAGGGGACTCTTGTTGTTTTGTTTTTGAAGTAATTTGAAACAAGCTTGGGGATCTTTCATCTTGTTTTTGAAGTAGATTGTTTGAAAAAATCTTGGAAACTCATTGTGCTTTCTTTTTAAAGCAGTTTGAAAGAATGCTAAGGACCCCTTGCGCCTGGTTTTGAAGTAGTGTTAAAAATACATTGAGGAAGCGTTGGCTTGTTTTTGCAGTAGTTTGAAAGAATCTTGAGGATATCTTATCTTGTTTTTAAGGTAATTTGAAGGAATTTCGCGGACCGTGTGTGCCTAGTTTTTAAAGTAGTTTGAAAAAACCTCCTGCATATTTTGTGTCTAGTTTTTAAGTAGTTGAAAAGAATCTCGGGGACCCTTTTCGTTTTGTTTTTGAAGTAGTTTGAAAGAATGTTGGAGACCCCTTGTGTTTTGTTTTTGAAGTCATATCAAAGAATCCCGGGGACCATTTGTGCCTGGTTTTTGAACTAGTTTGAAAAAATATTATGAAACCGTTGGCTTATTTTTGCAGTAGTTTGAAAGAATGTTGAGGATTCCTTGTATTGTTTTTAAGATAATTTGAAAGATTCTCGGGGCCTTTTTGTTTTCTTTTTGAAGTTGTTCGAAAGAATCTCAGAGATCGCTTGTCCATAGTTTTTAATGTCGTTTGAAAAAATCTCCGGCATCTTTTGTGCTTAGTTTTTTAAGTAGTTTGAAAGAATCTCGGGGACCACTTTTGTTTTGTTTTTGAAGTAGTTTGAAAGAAGCTTGGGAATCTTTCATCTTGTTTTTGAAGTACATTATTTGAAAGAATCTCGGAAATCCCTGGTGTTTGTTTTTAAAGCAATTTGAAAAAATGCTGGGGCCCCACCGTTCCTGGTTTTTGAAGTAGTTTTAAAAACACATTAAGGAACCCTTGGCTTGTTTTTGCAGTAGTTTGAAAGAGTCTCGAGGATCTCTTATCTTGTCTTTAAGGTAGTTGGAAAAACTCTCCGGGATCTTTTGTGCCTAGTTTTTTAAGCAGTTTGAAAGAATCTTGGGGATCATTTTTGTTTTGCTTTTGAAGTAGTTTGAAATGAACTTGGTAATTTTGCATCTTGTTTTTGAAGTACATTGTTTAAAGAATCTCGGAAACCCCTTTTGTTTTATTTTTGAAGTAGTTTGAAAAAATCTCCAGGATCTATTGTGCCTAGATTTTTAAATAGCTTGAGAGAATCCGGGGACTCTTTTTGTTTTGTTTTTTACGTAGTTTGAAAGAAGCTTGGGGATCTTTCGTCTTGTTTTTGAAGTACATTGATTGAAAGAATTTCGGGGACCCTTGTTGTTTAGTTTTTGAAGTAGTTTGAAAGGATATTGGATATTTTTCGTCTTGTTTTTGAAGTACATAGTTGCAAAGAATCTCGGAAATCCCTTGTGCTTTATTTTTAAAGCAGTTTGAAAGAACTCCAGGGGTCTCTTCTGTCTGGTTTTTGAAGTAGTTTGAAGGAATCTCGGGGACCGCTTGTGATTACCTTTTATAGTAGTTTGAAAAAATTTCCAGGAACTTTTGTCAATTTTTTTAAATAGTTTGAAAGAATCTGGGGACTCTTTTTGTTTTGTTTTTGAAGTAGTTTGAAAGAAGCTTGGGTATCTTTCGTCTTCTTGTTTTTGAAGTACATTGTTTCAAAAAAATCTCGGGAACCCTGTTGTTTGAGGATCACTTATGTTGTTTTTAAAGTAATTTGAAAAAATCTCGAGGACCCTTTTTGTTTTGTTTTTGAAGTAGTTTGAAAGAATCTTGGAGATCCTTGGTCTTGTTTTGAAGTACATTGTTTGAAAGAATCTCGGGAAACTTTCGTCTTGTTTTTGAAGTACATTGTTAGAAAGAATCTCGGGACCTTCGTTGTTTTGTTTTTGAAACAGTTTGAAAGAATCTTGGGGATCTTTCGTCTTGTTTTGGAAGTATATTGTTTTAAAGAATCCCAGGGGTCCTTTGCATCTGGTTTTTGAAGTGGTTTTAGATATTAGATAACTCTTGGCTCGTTTTTGCAGTAGTTTGAAAAAATCTTGTGGATCTCTTGTCTTGTTTTGAAGATGATTTAAACAATCTCGGAGACATTGTTGATTTTTTTTTAAGTAGTTTGAAGGAATCTTGGGGACCGCTTGTGATTACTTTTTCAAGTAGTTTGAAAAAATCTCCCCGATCTTTTGTGTCTAGTTTTTAAATAGTTTGAAAGAATCTAGGGAGTCTTTTTGTTTGGTTTTTGAAGTAGTTTTAAAGCATCTTGGGGATCTTTAATCTTGTTTTTGAAGCATATTGTTTGAAAGAATCCCAGGGGTCCCTTGTGCTTGTTTTTACAGTAATTTGAAAGAATCTTGAGGATCTCTGGTCTTATTTTTAAGATAATTTTAAAAAATCTCGGGGACCTTTTTTTTTCTTTTTGAAGTAGTTTGAAAGAATCTCGGGGAACACTTTTTAAAGTAGTTTGAAGAAATCTCCAGGGTTTTTTAGTCTAGTTTTTTAAGTAGTTTGAAAGAATCTGGGGGACTCTTGTTGTTTTGTTTTTGAGGTAGTTTGAAACAAGCTTGAAGATCTGTAGTATTGTTTTTGAAGTACATTGTTTGAAAGAATCTTTGGGACTCTTGTTGTTTTTGAAGTAGATTTTTTGAAAGAATCTCGGAAACTTCTTGTGCTTTGTTTTTAAATCAGTTTGCAAGTATGCTGGGGACCCCTTGTTTCTGGTTTTTGAAGTAGTTTTAAAAACACATTACGGAAGCTTTGGCTTGTTTCTGCAGGAGTTTGAAAGAATCTTGAGGATCTCTAGTCTTATTTTTAAGATAATTTTAAAGAATCTCGGGGACCTTTTTGTTTTCTTTTTGAAGTAGTTTGAAGAACTCTCGGGTCCTGCTTGTCGTTACCTTTTAAGGTAATTTGAAAAAATCTCCAGGATCTTTAATGCCTTGTTTTTGAAATAGTTTAAAAGAATCTCGGATACCCTTTTGGTTTTGTTTTTGAAGTAGTTTGAAAGAATTTTGGGGATCTTTTGTATTGTTTTTGGAGTACATTTTTTGAAAAAATCTTGGATATCTTTCGTCTTGCTTTTGAAGTACATTGTTTGAAAGAATTTTGGGCATCCCTTGTCTTGTTTTTAAGGGAATTTGAAAGAATCTAGAAGAACCTTTTTGTTTTCTTTGTGAAGTAGTTTAAAAGAAGTTTGGTAATCTTTCGTCTTGTTGCGGAACAAGTTTGAAAAAATGTTAGAGATCTTTCGTCTTGTTTTTGAAAGAATCTCGAGGACCTCTTTTGTTTTGTTTTTGAAGTAGTTTGAATGAATGTTAGAGATCTTTCGTCTTGTTTATGAAGTACATTGTTTGAAAGAGTCTCAGTGACCCATTTTGTTTTGTATTTGAAATAGTTTGAAAGAATCTTGGGGATCTTTCGTCTTATTTTTGAAATATATTTTTTGAAAGAATCTCGGAGACTCTTTGAGCTTTATTTTTGAAGCAGTTTGAAAGAATCCGGGGCACCCCTTGTGCCTGGTTTTTGAAGTAGTTTGAAACAATTTTAAAGAACCTTTGGCTTGTTTTTAAGGCAATTTGAAAGAATCTAGCGGACCCCTTTTGTTTCGTTTTTGAATTAGTTTGAAGGAATCTCGGACACCCCTTCTGTTTAGTTATTGAAGTAGTTCGAAAGAATCTTGGGGATCCTTTATGTTGTTTTTGAAGTAATTTGAAAGATTCTCGGAGTCCCGTGAACTTTAATTAAAGTTGTGTTTATTAGAAATTGTTTACATTGCATTTATGTAAATAAGTGCTATAAATTGCATATGCACGGAATTTGACCTTAGTTGTTTATCGTACATTGTAAACATTCTTTAACAAGTAGAAAGTGCGCCGAAAACTAAGTACATCTTTCTAGAGGAATGAAAATTAAATTAACTGAACTAAAACATAATTTTCTTAACTTAATTTTTCAATTTAATAGTTTTAAATAAAGAAACGTCATTGAATTACGACTCAGTTTTTGGTCGTTAATCACTGCAACTAAAAATAAGTTATGTTCTTCGTCACGGTCACTTTTCTATTTCTAGTGGTTGCACTTTATCTTGAACTTTGTAATCCATATAAAAAAATATACGAAAAACTATTTATTTATTATTGATAAAAAATATATCAGTGTTTTTTATTTACTACAACAAACATGTTTTTCAAGCGGTTCAGACGGGTTTTAAGGCACAAGCCACCAAAACGCTATAAAAATAATGAACTTGTCCGCCATCGCTGGTACTGTCAATGCGTAACAAACTGCATTTTCTCACAGCTTCTTTAAAATCTTCAAGAAATTTCGTCCGTTCGTCCTGAGAACCAATCTTCAAAATAGGAATTATCGACAAACTATGATCTAAAAATTCTCAATAATTTCCAGAAAAATTACAAATTCAGCATACCCATAAACTCGTTTAAACCATCATAAGTGAACTTTCTTTTCTCATAGTTGCACACTTGAACGTCGAAGCCGGCGTTTTTCAGCAAAAACATAAGCTTTTCTCTAGGGTTGTCCGAAGATCGGTACGAAGGAATAATGCTTTTAAAACCTGCCATAGCCGGTGGCCACTTTTTCTCTTTGATCATGGTTTCCCAGATTTCATAAAAGCAGACATCTACTATGACCGTGGCAAAAATATTTCCTCCAGGTTTTAGCATGTCGAAAATGTTTCGCAGAGCTTCAGGAGTCCTGCAAGACTCGTGAAATCGACAAAAATAAAGTGTTTGTATTTACCTATCTTCTGGAATCTGTTGCAAACAAAGAAACGAAAAAATGTGGTCGAAATAGCCTTTGAGCGATTTATCGTAGTCCATGATGTCCATCTGAACGGTCTCGATTCGCTCGTCGTGGAATCTGTTTTTGGCGAAGTTTACCATATTTCTGGACTTGTCGCAAACGACGAGTTTGTTGAAGTTGGGTAAGCGTGGAAGTAGAGCTTCAAGGGTCACTGAAGCATCGCCAGCACCCAGGTCCAAAATTGTGGCGTTGTTTTTCACATTTAGTAATTTGAAATAGGTATTGAGAAAATGGGTGGCCACTGATATTTGCAGTTGACAACTTTTCGAGTACAGAACAGGGTCTTCGTTCATCTTGGTTACTCTGAGACAGCGTATCCTGGGATTGTGCGTTGTGTTTTTATAGAAATATGATAACAATATAAATGCTGATAACAAGACGCTTACTCAATTGCTGCAAAGTGATTGTGTTTAATCTGACCTTTTTATATGCCGAGATTTTTTAACAAAAAAGGAGTGGGGTATATGGTTTAAGAAACATACAAATGACTCATTTGCAACAAAATTGATAATCTAAACGACTACAAAAAACATTATTTTTTTTTAAGCTCTTGACGCACAAACCACCAGAACGCTGTAAGACATGACGACTTTTTCACCACCACCGCTTCCTTTTATAGACAGCTTGTCAGCGTTTCTGGTTTCTTTCGTAAAATCTTCAACAAATTCCAATTGCTTATTTTGCGACGCCACGTTTAATACAGGTACTATCGCCAACGCAAAATCTACCAAACTCTTGATCAGAGCACAAAACAAACCAAAACAGTTAACCTACCCAAAAAGTGCCTAAACCCATCGAAAGTATAAGTTCTTTCCTCATACTTGCAAACTTGAACATCGAAACCAGCTTGCTCCAAAAAAAATCTTAGCTTGGCTTCAGGTTTGTCCACACCTCGGTACGGATTAATTTTGAAATGCACCATAGCCGGGGGCCACTTTTGCTTCTTGGTCATGTTGTCGCAAATTTCAAACAGAGCCGAATCGACTATAACACTGGCAAACAAGTTTCCTCCTGGTTTTAACAAAGTGAAAATGTTTCGCATGGCTTGTGGACACCTACAAACTTCATGATATGTAAACACCAAAGAAAACAAAAATTTTACCTCTCTTCTGGGACGAAATTCAAACAATAAAACGAGAAGACGTGATCGAAGCGTTTTTTGAAAACTTCGTCGTCGTCGTCGGAGATGTCCATCCTGACGACTTCGATCCGTTGGTCGTTGAATCTCCGCTTGGCGAAGTTTACCATTTTTTCGGATTTATCGGAAATCACGAGTTTAGCGAAAGGTGGTAAGAGAGGGATTATCACTTCGAGGGTGATTGTGCCCTCGCCGGCACCCACGTCCAGAACTGAGGCGCCGTCTTTCAGGTTCAACTGGTTTAAATAAGTGTTGAGGAAATGCGTGGCGTCAAATTTCTGCATTTGGCAGATTTTTGAGTACAGAGCTGGGTCTTGGTTCATTTTTTGTTGTTCTGAGACAGCGTGAGAATGTGCGTTGCATTTTATAAAAACTGATAGCACTGCAATTATTTACAATGTACCTACTTTATTAATTGCTTTAAATTGCGTAAATATGTTTAATTTGACCTTGATTGCGGACAAGTTTTAACAGAAACAAAGTTGCAAAGTATCGAATTACTCTATAATTTGTCACCTGATTCTGCTGTGCCAAATATAACCCTTCTTCTAAAGTGAAAGAAAGACGAATTTCGTTATTATTGAATTAAATATAATACAAAGGCTCAGCAAGAATCTACGCAGTCTTTAAGTAAGAAAAAGAGAATTCCATTAATACTCATTGTGAAAGAATCTTTGGATTTTTTAAAATTTATCAGGACGTCTTCAACAGTAATTTGATAGTGGAATAGAAATATCAGAAATAGTGTTAAAAATGAGCTGAGAAGCAATAAACACACTTGTGTGTAAGAAAAAATTAAAGCCAAACATTAAGCCATATTGGGCCCCACCAATACCTCTCCTGATCTAAATAATGAAGTTTTTATTCATTGGCAGACCTAGGGGCGGAGCCTAATTGGTAAATTCATATTTTCTTACAAAAGTTTACCGTTTTAAACGTGTTTTAGTTTCTATATTTTGTCTTTTTTTTTAACATACTTAGTTTTCTTTGAACAACACGATACTCAAAAACTTGTTTTTAATTTTTTGTAAAGAAATAAGTATTTTGTAGTTAAGCTCCGCCCCCTTAGTTCACGGCCAATTAAAAAAATCATCACAATTGCGATGGGGCGGGTGGACGGGCCTATATTTTGCCTTTTTGCTTTAATATGTGTAGACTTATTTTCACAACATGAAACTGAAAGCTTATTGTTTAAAATAGAAAATTTGGGTAAAGAAATATGGATTTTAATTAGGCTCCGCCCCATAAATGTAAAATCCATATTTCCTTGCAAAAGTGTAGCATTTTAACCATATTTTAAGTTTCTTGTGGTGAAAAGAAGGCTATGTATATTAAGAAAAAACAAGGAAAAATATAAGTCCCTCCCACCCACCCTGTCCCAATTGTGATGATTTTTTTTATACGTCGTGAGCCAAGAGGGCGGAGTTTAACTGCAAAATCTTTATTTCTCTACGAGAAATTAAAAACATGTTTTTGAGTATCGTGTTGTTCAAACAATACTATGTATATTAAGAAAAATATAAAGCCAAAGATTAGGCCCCACCCATATCAGCCGCGATTTCAATTCTCAATTGTGACAAATTTTTCATTCGTTGTCAGTTCGATGGGTGGGGCTTAATTGCAAGATCCATATTTGTCTACAAGAATTTACCATTTTAAACATGTTTTAAGTTTCTTGTTCTGAAAAGACCACTACGTGTATTAAGGCAAAATTCCAAATATAAGCCCCACCCACCCACCCGATCTCAATTGTGATGATTTTTTTTAATCGCCGAAAGCCAAAGAAGCGGAATTTAACTGCAAAGAATTCTCACTATATTAAGAAAAAGATAAAGCCAAAGATTAAGCCCCACACATATCTGACCTGATTTAGATAGTATAATGAAGTTTTCATTCGTTGGCCGACCTAGGGGCGGAGCTTAATTGCAATATCCATATTATATTTTGCCTTTTTTTTTTAATATACTTAGTATTCTTTGAACAACACGACACTCTAAAATACGTTTTTAATTTTTTGTAAAGAAATAAGTATTTTGCAGTTAAGCTCCGCCCTCTTGGTTCACAGTGAATAAAAAAAATCATCACAATTTGCGATAGGGCGGGTGGGCGGGCCTATATTTTGCCTTTTTGTTTTAATATGTGTAGACTTATTTTCATAACATGAAACTGAAAGCTTGTTTAAAATAGAAAATTTGGGTAAGGAAATATGGATTTTAATTAGGCTCCGCCCCATAAATGTAAAATCCATATTTCCTTGCAAAAGTGTGGCATTTGAACCATATTTTAAGTTTCTTGTGGTGAAAAGATGGCTATGTATATTAAGAAAAAATAAAGCAAAATATAAGCCCTACCCACCCGCCCTGTCCCAATTGTGATGATTTTTTTTATTCGTCGTGAGCCAAGAGGGCGAAGCTTAACTGCAAAATCCTTATTTCTCTACGTGGAATTAAAAACATGTTTTAGAGTATCGTGTTGTTCAAAGAATACTATGTATATTAAGAAAAAAATAAAGCCAAAGATTAGGCCCCACCCATACCCGCCCCGATTTCAATTCACAATTGTGATAAATTTTTCATTCATTGTCAGATCGATGGGTGGGGCTTAATTGCAAGATCCATATTTGTCTACAAGGATTTGCCATTTGAAACATAGTTTAAGTTTTTTGTTCTGAAAAGGCGACTACGTAATTAAGACAAAAGGCCAAATATAAGCCCCGCCCACCCGCCCTATCTCAATTGTAATGATTTTTTTTTGATCGTCGAAAGCCAAAGAAGCGGAATTTAACTGCAAAGAATTCTGTGTATATTAAGAAAAAATAGAGCCAAAGATTAAACCCCACACATTTCTGCCCTGATTTAAATAGTAAGGAATTATATCCATATTATATTTTGCCTTTTTACTTCCCGAGCGTAAGCAAAGGAAGTATTGTAATCGAGTCCGTCGGTCGACTCTCTACTTTTACGTTTTCTCGATCTTTCATGACCCCTAGAAGACGAAGAAATAGGTCTCCCATTTCCGTCTGTCTGTCCGTCTGTCCGTCTGTCCGTCTGTCCGTCTGTCCGTCTGTCCGTCCGTCTGTCCGTCTGTCCGTCTGTCCGTCCGTCTGTCCGTCTGTCCGTCTGTTGTCCCGGATTTTTATTAGACAGATAATCTCCGAAAGTACTCGACCGATTGTTGTGAAATTTTGTACTTATATTAAGAATATCATGTAGATGGTAAAACGCTAACCAAAATTTGTCTAATCATCCCCACCACTAATGCGATGACGTCACTTCAAAATTGTACATAGTAAATGGGTTTTCAATTGTATAAAATAACATAGTCCTACACATGTAGTTTACAACTCTGAATCGACTTTTCACCCGAAACGTCCAGATTTTTGGAAAAAAAATCAAAATTATAAAACAATATTTTGAAATTTAATTTTTAATCTGCTAACCAGAATGCTTTGAAATGTTGCAGATGTTTTAAGGCTATAAAGAGCATCATAAATCTTTAGTCAAAAAATATTTACTTATCCCCTCCAAAAACTTGATTACGTCAGCTTAAAAGTTCGTGGAATAAATCATATCTAAAATGTACAAAATATGATGAGTCTGTACTTGTGATCTATCACTCCATTCATATTTTTTGGATTTGCATATACAGGGTGACTCAAAAAAATTAATGAATGCGTAAATATATTTTATTGATTTAATCAGGAACTACAAAACCGAATGCTCTGAAATCTTGCAGATGTTTTAAGGCTATAAAGAGCATCATAAATCTTTACTCAAAAAATATTTGCTTATCCCCTCCAAAAACTTGATGACGTCAGCTCAAAAGTTTGTGGAATAAATCATATCTAAAATGTACAAAATATGATGAGTCCGTACTTGTGATCTATCACTCCATTCATATTTTTTGGATTTCTATATACAGGGTGACTCCAAAAAATTAATGAATGCGTGAATATATTTTATTGAGTTAATCAAGAACTACAAAACCGAATGCTTTGAAATCTTGCAGATATTTTAAGGTTATAAAGAGCATCATAAATCTTTAGTCAGAATATAGTTGGTTATCCCCTCCAAAAACTTGTTGACGTCAGCTCAAAAGTTTGCCGAATAAATCCTATCTAGAATATACAAAATATGATGAGTCTGTACTTGTAATTTATCATTCCATTCATATTTTTTGAATTTGCATATACCGGGTAACTCAAAAAAAAAAATATGAAATCTACTGCGAAAAAAAACACAATAGGCATGCAGTCGTCACGTTTCCAACAGCGAGGGAAGTACTGGCTAAACTCTTTAGACCAATTTTTTTTCTTAATACCTTCTTAGTATTCTTTGAACACGATACTCAAAAACATCTTTTTAATTTTTTGTAAAAAAATAAGTATTTTGCAATTAAGCTCCGCCCTCTTGGTTCACGGTGAATAAAAAAAATCATCACAATTGCGATAGGGCGGGTGGGCGGGCCTACATTTTGTCTTTTGGTTTTAATATGTGTAGACTTCTTTTCACAACATGAAACTGAAAACATGTTTAAAAATGGAAAATTTGTATAAGGAAATATCGATTTTTTATTTAAGCTCCGCCCCATAATTTCAAAACCCATATTTTCTTGCAAAAATGTACCATTTTAACCATGTTCTAAGTTTTTTGTTGTAAAAAGAAGCACTTGCTAAAATAAGACTAATTTTGGCAGATGACATATTCTCTAAAAAAAAACAGGGTGGGTGGGCGGGGGTAGTACTTGCTATGATAAGACTAACCAATATTAAGAGTAGTCACTGGAATAAAGAGGGGGTTGGTGGGCGGGACTACTGCTTGTTTATAAGATTCTCAATAAAAAAACTAAACTCAGCCCCGGACACTTTTTTCGCTTATTTCACTGACTTATATTGAGGTATTCAATTTTTCGATTTTTCAATTTTTGGCGTGTTCAGTTTTTGGAATTGTAATTTTTCAATTTAGAATTCTACCTAAAAATTCTAGATCTTAAAGATTCTAGAGACTATTATGTCGTAGGAATAGTAGAGACTCTTGACATATTTGTAGTCACAGAGATCCTTCAAATTTTATATATTCTAAAAATCGTGTAAATTTTCTATATTATAGACAATTTACGGTTCCTAAAACGACGGAAGTTTCAGAGATAGTAGATACCGTAAGATGCTAAATATGATATTATTTCATGAAATCTAAATATAAATTTCACAAAAAAAACACTGCAGATTATAGGGATTTCAGTGTTTTTAGTGATGCCACAGATTGTTATATTTTAAAAACTCTAAATGTGCTTCTGATGCCAGAAAGTGAAGAGCTTTTTGAGTGTCCTGAAATTCTCGAAGAAAATGATATCCAGGGATGCTTGAAAATTTTGAGATCCTAAGAATTACACAGATTCCAAGAATTCCCGATATTCACAAAGTTAACTGAAACTAAAATTTGTCAACGAAACTTTTGCATTTCTTCCAACTTCCTCTTGATCGCAACAGAATCCATCAATCATCAGCGAGGAAACAAAGCCTTTATAGCTCGACACAATGCAATAAATTATATAATTAACATAAGAAATAAAAGACACTTTTCTTTATTTTCAACGACAAACACATTTTTGAAACCATTCAGACAGGTTTTAGGGCACAAGCCACCAAAACGCTATAGAAATAATGAACTTGTTCGCCATCACTATGATTGTCAATACCCACCAAGCTGCATTTTTTTACAGCTTCTTTAAAATCTTCAACAAATTTCGCCCGCTCATCCTGGGAAACAACTTTTCCAATAGGAACTATCGACAAACCATGATCTAAAAACACCCATTAATCGTTGATAAAATCACAAATTTCACATACCCAGAAACTCGTTTAAACCACCATACGTGAATTTTCGCTCCTCGTATTTGCAAAATTGTACGTCGAAGCCGGCGTCTTTCAGAAAACAAGTAAGCTTTTCTTCGGGGTTGTCCGAATCTCGGTAGAGAGAAATAATGTTTTTGTAACCCACCATAGCCGGTGGCCACTTGTTTTCTTCGGTCATGCTATCGCAAATTTCAAAAAAGGGCACATTTACTATGACCGTCGCAAAAAAATGTTCGCCAGGTTTCAGCATTTCGAAGACGTTTCGAAGAGCTTGTGGGGTACTGCAACCAGCGTGAAATTGCCAAAAATAAATTTTTTGCACTTACTTGAGTTGTGGTATCAAGTTGAAACAAAAAAAACGAAAAAATGTGGTCGAAATAGCCTTTGAAGGATTTGTTGTAGTCGACGATGTCCATCTGAACGGTCTCGATTCGCTCGTCGTGGAATCTGTTTCTGGCGAAATCAACCATTTTTTTGGACTTGTCGGAAACGACGAGTTTGTTGAAGTTGGGTAAGCGTGGAAGTAGAGCTTCAAGGGTCACTGAAGCATCGCCAGCACCCAGTTCCAAAATTGTGGCGTTCTTTTTCACATTTAGTAAGTTGAAATAGGTATCGAGAAAATGGGTGGCCACTGATAGTTGCAGTTGATAACTTTTCGAGTACTGAACAGGGTCTTCGTTCATCTTGGTTATTCTGAGACAGCGAATCCTGGGATTGTGTGTTGTGATTTTAAAGAGATATGATAACAATATAAATGCTGATAACAAGACGCTTACTCAATTGCTGCAAAGTGCTTGTGCTTAATCTGACCTTTTCAGATGCCGAGATTTTTTAACAAAAAAGGAGTGGGGTATATGGTTTAAGAAACATACAAATGACTCATTTGCAACAAAATTGATAATCTAAACGACTACAAAGAACATTATTTTTTTTTAAGCTCTTGACGCACAAACCACCAGAACGCTATAAGACATGACAACTTTTTCACCACCACCGCTTTTTTTTATAGACAGCTTGTCAGCGTTTCTCGTTTCTCTCGTAAAATCTTCAACAAATTGCACTTGTTTATTTTGCGACGCCACGTTTAATACAGGTACTATCGCCAACGCAAAATCTACCAAACTCTTGATCAGAGCACAAAACAAACCAAAACAGTTAACCTACCCAAAAAGTGCCTAAACCCATCGAAAATATAAGTTCTTTCCTCAAACTTGCAAAATTGAACATCAAAACCAGCTTGCTCCAAAAAAAATCTCAGCTTCGCTTCAGGTTTGTCCACACCTCGGTACGGATTAATTTTGAAATGTACCATAGCCGGGGGCCACTTTTGCTTCTTGGTCATGTTGTCGCAGATTTCAAACAGAGCCGAATCGACTATGACACTGGCAAACAAGTTTCCTCCTGGTTTTAACAAAGTGAAAATGTTTCGCATGGCTTATGGACACCTACAAACTTCATGATATGTAAACACTAAAGAAAACAAAAATTTTACCTCTCTTCTGGGACGAAATTCAAACAATAAAACGAGAAGACGTGATCGAAGCGTTTTTTGAAAACTTCGTCGTCGTCGTCGGAGATGTCCATCCTGACGACTTCGATCCGTTGGTCGTTGAATCTCCGCTTGGCGAAGTTTACCATTTTTTCGGATTTATCGGAAATTACGAGTTTAGCGAAAGGTGGTAAGAGAGGGATTATCACTTCGAGGGTGATTGTGCCGTCGCCGGCACCCACGTCCAGAACTGAGGCGCCGTCTTTCAGGTTCAACTGGTTTAAATAAGTGTTGAGGAAATGCGTGGCGTCAAATTTCTGCATTTGGCAGATTTTTGAGTACAGAGCTGGGTCTTGGTTCATTTTTTGTTGTTCTGAGACAGCGTGAGAATGTGCGTTGCATTTTATAAAAACTGATAGCACTGCAATTATTTACAATGTACCTACTTTATTAATTGCTTTAAATTGCGTAAATATGTTTAATTTGACCTTGATTGCGGACAAGTTTTAACTGAAACAAAGTTGCAAAGTATCGAATTACTCTATAATTTGTCACCTGATTCTGCTGTGCCAAATGTAACCCTTCTTCTAAAGTGAAAGAAAGACGAATTTCGTTATTATTGAATTAAATATAATACAAAGGCTCAGCAAGAATTTACGCAGTCTTTAAGTAAGAAAAAGAGAATTCCATTAATACTCATTGTGAAAGAATCCTTGGATTTTTTAAAATTTATCAGGACGTCTTCAACAGTAATTTGATAGTGGAATAGAAATATCAAAATTAGTGTTAAAAACGAGCTGAGAAGCAATAAACACACTTGTGTGTAAGAAAAAATTAAAGCCAGACATTAAGCCATATTGGGCCCCACCAATACCTCCCCTGATCTAAATAATGAAGTTTTATTCGTTGGCAGACCTAGGGGCGGAGCCTAATTGGTAAATTCATATTTTCTTACAAAAGTTTACCGTTTTAAACGTGTTTTAGTTTCTATATTTTGTCTTTTTTTTTTTAACATACTTAGTTTTCTTTGAACAACACGATACTCAAAAACTTGTTTTTAATTTTTTGTAAAGAAATAAGTATTTTGTAGTTAAGCTCCGCCCCCTTGGTTCACGGCCAATTAAAAAAATCATCACAATTGCGATAGGGCGGGTGGGCGGGCCTATATTTTGCCTTTTTGTTTTAATATGTGTAGAATTATTTTCACAACATGAAACTGAAAGCTTGTTTAAAATAGAAAATTTGGGTAAAGAAATATGGATTTTAATTAGGCTCCGCCCCATAAATGTAAAATCCATATTTCCTTGCAAAAGTGTAGCATTTTAACCATATTTTAAGTTTCTTGTGGTGAAAAGAAGGCTATGTATATTAAGAAAAAACAAGGAAAAATATAAGCCCCTCCCACCCACCCTGTCCCAATTGTGATGATTTTTTTTATTCGTCGTGAGCCAAGAGGGCGGAGTATAACTGCAAAATCTTTATTTCTCTACGAGAAATTAAAAACATGTTTTTGAGTATCGTGTTGTTCAAAGAATACTATGTATATTAAGAAAAATGTAAAGCCAAAGATTAGGCCCCACCCTTATCAGCCCCGATTTCAATTCTCAATTGGGACAAATTTTTCATTCGTTGTCAGATCGAGGGGCGGTGCTTAATTGCAAGATCCATATTTGTCTACAAGAATTTACCATTTTAAACATGTTTTAAGTTTCTTGTTCTGAAAAGACGACCACGTAATTAAGACAAAACTCAAAATGTAAGCCCCGCCCACCCACCCGATCTCAATTGTGATGATTTTTTTTTAATCGCGGAAAGCCAAAGAAGCGGAATTTAACTGCAAAGAATTCTCACTATATTAAGAAAAAATTAAAGCCAAAGATTAAGCCCCACACATTTCTGCCCTGATTTAAATAGTAAGGAATTATATCCATATTATATTTTGCCTTTTTTTTCTTAATACCTACTTAGTATTCTTTGAACCCGATACTCAAAAGCATTTTTTTTAATTTTTTGTAAAAAAATAAGTATTTTGCAGTTAAGCTCCGCCCTCTTGGTTCACGGTGAATAAAAAAAATCATCACAATTGCGATAGGGCGGGTGGGCGGGCCTACATTTTGTCTTTTGGTTTTAATATGTGTAGACTTCTTTTCACAACATGAAACTTAAAACATGTTTAAAATGGAAAATTTGTATAAGGAAATCTCAATTTTGCAATTAGGCTCCGCCCCATAATTGCCAAATTCATATTTCCTTGCAAAATTGTACCATTTTGACCATGTTCTAAGCTTCCTATTGTAAAAAGTAGTCCTTGCTAAGATAAGACTAATTTTGGCAGATGACATAGTCTCTAAAAAAAACAGGGTGGGTGGGCGGGGCTAGTACTTGCTATGATAAGACTAAACAATATTAAGAGTAGTCACCGAAATAAAGAGGGGGCTGGTGGGCGGGACTACTGCTTGTTTATAAAATTCTTAATAAAAGAACTAAACTCAGCCCCGGCCACCTCTTTTGCTTATTTCACTGACTTATATTTAGGTATTCAATTTTTCGATTTTGCAATTTCTGACGTGTTCAATTTTTGGAATTGTAATTTTTCAATTTAGAATTCCACCTAGAAATTCTAGATCTTAGAGATTCCAGAGACTATTATATCATAGAAATAGTAGAGACTCTTGACATTTGTGGTCATGGAGATCATTCAAATTTTATAAATTCTAAAAATCCTGCAAATTTTATATATTATAGAAAGTTTCAGAGATGATAATGATCTTATTTCATGAATTCTAAACATAAATTTCACAAAAAAAATGTAGATTCTAGGGATTTCAGTGTTTTTAGTGAAGCCATGGATTGTTATACTTTAAAAACTTTAAATGTGCTCCAGGTGCCAGAAAGAGAAAAGCTTTTTGAATTTCCTGAAATTTTCAAAAAAAAAAAAATGACGTCCAGGGATACTTGAAAACTTTAAACTAAGAATTACACGGATTCCAAGAATTTCAGATATTCACAAAGTCAACTGAAACTAAAATTTCTGAAGAAATTTCTTAAGAAATAAAAAACACGTTTTTGAGTATCGTGTTGTTCGAAGAATACTATGACTGGGTATATTTAGATGTTTTAAGGCTACTTTTTATCTCCTGCTGTCACCTTATCTGGAATTTTGTTTTCCAGAATCATCATAATAAAAATTTATTTACGCCAATTAAAACACTTTCTTTATTTTCAACGACAAACACATTTTTGAAACCATTTAGACAGGTTTTAGGGCACAAGCCACCAAAACGCTATAAAAATAATGGACTTGTTCGCCATCACTACGTTCGTCAATGCCCACCAAGCTGCATTTTTTACAGCTTCTTTAAAATCTTCATCAAATTTTGCCCGCTCATCCTGCTTAAATATCTTTCCAACAGGAACTATCGACAAACCATGATCTAAAAACACTCATTACTTAATAATAACATTACAAATTCCACATACCGATAAACTCGTTTAAACCACCATATGTGAATTTTCGTTCCTCGTATTTGCAAAATTGTACGTCGAAGCCGGCGTCGTTCAGAAAACAAGTAAGCTTTTCTTCGGGGTTGTCCGAGTCTCGATAGGCAGAAATAACGTTTTTATAACCTACCATAGCCGGTGGCCACTTGTTTTCTTCGGTCATACTATCGCAAATTTCAAAAAAGGATACATTTACTATGATCGTAGCAAAAAAATTTCCACCAGGTTTTAGCATTTCGAAGATGTTTCGTAGAGCTTGTGGGGTACTGCAACAAGCGCGAAATTGACAAAAATAAATATTGTGCACTTACTTGTCTTCTGGAATCAAGTTCAAACAAAAAAACAAAAAAATGTGGTCGAAATAGCCTTTGAAGGATTTGTTGTAGTCGACGATGTCCATCTGAACGGTCTCGATTCGCTCGTCGTGGAACCTGTTTCTGGCGAAATCTACCATTTTCTTGGACTTGTCGGAAACGACGAGTTTGTTGAAGTTGGGTAAGCGTGGAAGTAGAGCTTCAAGGGTCACTGAAGCATCGCCAGCACCCAGGTCCAAAATTGTGGCGTTGTTTTTCACATTTAGTAAGTTGAAATAGGTATCGAGAAAATGGGTGGCCATTGATAGTTGCAGTTGACAACTTTTCGAGTACTGAACAGGGTCTTCGTTCATCTTGGTTATTCTGAGACAGCGAATCCTGGGATTGTGTGTTGTGATTTTATAGAAATATGATAACAATATAAATGCTGATAACAAGACGCTTACTCAATTGCTGCAAAGTGCTTGTGTTTAATCTGACCTTTTTATATGCCGAGATTTTTTAACAAAAAAGGAGTGGGGTACATATATGGTTTAAGAAACATACAAATGACTCATTTGCAACAAAATTGATAATCTAAACGACTACAAAAAACATTATTTTTTTAAGCTCTTGACGCACAAACCACCAGAACGCTGTAAGACATGACAACTATTTCACCACCACTGCTTTTTTTTATAGACAGCTTGTCAGCGTTTCTCGTTTCTTTCGTAAAATCTTCAACAAATTCTACTTGTTTATTTTGCGACGCCACGTTCAAAACAGGTACTATCGCCAACGCAAAATCTACCAAACACTTGATCAGACCACAAAACAAACCAAAGAGTTAACCTACCCAAAAAGTGCCTAAATCCATCGAAAGAATAAGTTCTTTCCTCATACTTGCAAACTTGAACATCAAAACCAGCTTGCTCCAAAAAAAATCTTAGCTTGGCTTCAGGTTTGTCCACACCTCGGTACGGATTAATTTTGAAATGTACCATAGCCGGGGGCCACTTTTGCTTCTTGGTCATGCTGTCGCAAATTTCAAACAGAGCCGAATCGACTATAACACTGGCAAACAAGTTTCCTCCTGGTTTTAACAAAGTGAAAATGTTTCGCATGGCTTGTGGACACCTACAAACTTCATGATGTGTAAACACCAAAGAAAACACAAATTTTACCTCTCTTCTGGGACGAAATTCAAACAATAAAACGAGAAGACGTGATCGAAGCGTTTTTTGAAAACTTCGTCGTCGTCGTCGGAGATGTCCATCCTGACGACTTCGATCCGTTGGTCGTTGAATCTCCGCTTGGCGAAGTTTACCATTTTTTCGGATTTATCGGAAAGCACGAGTTTAGCGAAATTTGGTAAGAGAGGGATTATCACTTCGAGGGTGACTGTGCCGTCGCCGGCACCCACGTCCAGAACTGAGGCGCCGTCTTTCAGGTTCAACTGGTTTAAATAAGTGTTGAGGAAATGCGTGGCGTCAAATTTCTGCATTTGGCAGATTTTTGAGTACAGAGCTGGGTCTTGGTTCATTTTTTGTTGTTCTGAGACAGCGTGAGAATGTGCGTTGCATTTTATAAAAACTGATAGCACTGCAATTATTTACAATGTACCTACTTTATTAATTGCTTTAAATTGCGTAAATATGTTTAATTTGACCTTGATTGCGGACAAGTTTTAACTGAAACAAAGTTGCAAAGAATCGAATTGTCTCTATAATTTGTCACCTGATTCTGCTGCGCCAAATATAACCCTTCTTCTAAAGTGAAAGAAAGACAAATTTCGTTGTTATTAAATTACATATAATACAAAGTGGCTCAGAAGAATCTGCACAGTCTTTAAGTAAGAAAGAGAGAATTCCGTTAATATTCATTGTGAAATATCCTTGTTTTTTTTTAATTTATCAGGACGTCTTCAGCAGTAATTTGACATGGTGGTGTCCATATTTTGTCTTTTTTTTATTAATATGTGTAGATTTATTTCGACAACAAGAAAGTTAAAAATTATTCAACTTGTAATCAAAATCAGAAATTTGGACAAAAAAATAATATTTTACGATAAGTACGTATGATCATGAAATAATTTGGTAACAGAACTTCCATGGACTAAATTTTTCTTCAATTTCTTTCAGTCTTGAAAAATCTGGAGATATTAATAATTATATTTTTTAAATTGTGTTTTTTTAAGATTTGTTGTTTTTCTTCCAATATCTCTATAGTTATCAGAGTTTTTTTTCACTAATTTTTATTTTATTGCGACGTTCTTCAGTTTTAATTGAAATGCCAACTTCGTTCTTCAGGTCACTATTTTTCTCTCCACGAAATAGCTTGAGGAAAAAAACTGTAATTCTTCAACGAAACATCGTGAGAAAAATTAATGAGCTCGGAATTTCGTGAACACTAAAATTGAAAATAAAATTAGCAAAAAGTTCTTCAACCTGAAATAAAAATCGTAAATTTCGACCAAAAACTAAAACTTTGTGAGGAAAAATTAAAGACATTTAAATCTCGTAAAAACAAAGTCTCAAAATTGTGCCAAAAAAAATTATTCAAATTGTAATCAAAAGCGAAAATTTGGCCAAAAAATTAAAACTTTATGATAACTACACGGACTATAAGAAGATTTAAATCGAACTACGACGGAACAAATTTTTCTTCAACTTGGAAGAATTTACCGTTTTAAACATGTTTTAAGTTTCTTGTTCTGAAAAGGCAACTACATATACATATTAAGAAAAACGACAAAATATAAGCCCCGCCCACCCGCCCTGTCTCAATTGTGATGATTTTTTTTATTCGTCGTGAATCAAGAGCTTAACTGCAAAATACTTAATTCTCTACGTCCAATTAAAAACATGTTTTTTCTACCGCGCACGTTTTTTGGTTTTCTAATAAAGCTATTAAAGCACACAAATGACGTCATAGCGGTTCGTTAATAGCGGAAAGGGGTTCTGAAATAAATCTGGTGTAATTAAATGGGTAAGATTGGTAGCCATGACGAGAAATGTGAATGTCAGTGGCAAATGTCAAATTACAATTTCCCGTATTTCGGGAGGCGTAAGGACTGCTAACTTCTTCACAAGACATTTTAACCAATTTTAACTCGAATTGATTCGAATTACAGTTGTTGTTGTGAAAATTCGAAGTTCAAATATTTCGTGGCTCGTGTCAGACCAACCCGTCACCAACCACAACAAAATTTCCCAGATTTCAAAAAAAGCAAATTTTAATAAAATTTTGAGAAAAAACGTGCGCGGTAGAAAAAATAGTATAAATAACTCGTTCATAAAGCCGTTGTGGCACTCAAACTTGGATTCGTCCTTTAACATTTGCCTTATGAAACTCGTTCTTTATTATATAAACTGAGTATCGTGTTGTTCAAAGAATACTTTAAGAAAAAAATAAAGCCAAAGATTAGAAGACCCCACTAATACCCGCCCCGATCTCAATTCACAACTGTGATAAATTTTTCATTCGTTGTCAGATCGGGGGGAGGGGCTTAATTGCAAGATACAAAAATTTACCATTTTTAACATGTTTTTAGTTTCTTGTTCTGAAAAGATAACTACGTATATTAAGACAAAAAGCAAAATATAAGCCCCGCCCACCCACCCTGTCTCAATTGTGATGATTTTTTTTTTAATTGTCGAAAGCCAAAGGAGCGGAATATATTTGCAAAGAATACTATGTATATTAAGAAAAAATTAAAGCCAAACTTTAAGCCATATTGGGCACACCTAAACCTCCCCTGATCTAAATAATGAAGTTTTTATTCGTTGGCAGACCTAGGGGCGGAGCTTAATTGCTAAATTCATATTTCCTTTCAAAAGTTTACCGTTTTAAACGTGTTTTGGTTCCTTAACATATTTAGTTTGCTTTGAATAACACGATACTCAAAAACATGTTTTTAATTTTTTGTAAAGAAATAAGTATTTTGCAGTTAAGCTCCGCCCTTGGTTCACGGTGAATAAAAAAAATCATCACAATTGCGATAGGGCGGGTGGGCGGGCATAAATTTTGTCTTTTGATTTTAATATGTGTAGACTTCATTTTACAACATGAAACTTAAAACATGCTTAAAATGGAAACTTTGAATAAGGAAATATCGATTTTGCAGTTAGGCTGCACCCCATAATTTAAAAATCCATATTTCCTTGCAAAAATGGACCATTTTAACCATTTTCTAAGTTTCTTGTTGTGAAAAAATGGCTATGTATATTAAGAAAGAAAAGGGAAAATATAAGCCCCGCCCACCCGTCCTATCTCAATTGTGATGATTTTTTTTATTCGTCGTGAATCAAGAGGGCGAAGCTTAACTGCAAAATCCTTATTTCTCTACGTGAAATTAAAAATATGTTTTAGAGTATCGTGTTGTTCAAAGAATAGTACCTATGTATATTAAGAAAAAAATAAACCCAAAGATTAGGCCCCAGCCATATCAGCCCCGATTTCAATTCTCAATTGTGATAAATTTTTCATTCGTTGTCAGATCGAGGGGCGGGGCTTAATTGCAAGATCCATATTTGTCTACAAGAATTTACCATTGTAAACATGTTTTAAGTTTCTTGTTCTGAAAAGGCGACCACGTAATTAAGACAATAGGCCAAATATAAGCCCCGCCCACCCGCCCTATCTCAATTGTAATGATTTTTTTTTAATCGCGGAAAGCCAAAGAAGCGGAATTTAACTGCAAAGAATTCTATGTATATTAAGAAAAAGATAAAGCCAAAAATTAAGCCCCACACATTTCTGCCCTGATTTAAATAGTAAGGAATTATATCCATATTATATTTTGCCTTTTTTTTCTTAATACCTACTTAGTATTCTTTGAACACGATACTCAAAAACATCTTTTTAATTTTTTGTAAAAAAATAAGTATTTTGCAGTTAAGCTCCGCCCCCTTGGTTCACGGTGAATAAAAAAAATCATTACAATTGCGATAGGGCGGGTGGGCGGGGTTATATTTTGTCTTTTGGTTTTAATATGTGTAGACTTCTTTTCACAACATGAAACTTAAAGCATGTTTAAAATGGAAAATTTGTATAAGGAAATCTCAATTTTGCAATTAGGCTCCGCCCCATAATTGCCAAATTCATATTTCCTTGCAAAAATGTACCATTTTGACCATGTTCTAAGTTTCCTATTGTAAAAAGTAGTCCTTGCTAAGATAAGACTAATTTTGGCAGATGACATAGTCTCTAAAAAAAAACAGGGTGGGTGGGCGGGGCTAGTACTTGCTGTGATAAGACTAAACAATATTAAGAGTAGTCACCGAAATAAAGAGGGGGCTGGTGGGCGGGACTACTGTTTGTTTATAAGATTCTTAATAAAATAACTAAACTCAGCCCCGGCCACCTCTTTTGCTTATTTCACTGACTTATATTTAGGTATTCAATTTTTCGATTTTGCAATTTTTGACGTGTTCAATTTTTGGAATTGTAATTTTTCAATTTAGAATTCCACCTAGAAATTCTAGATCTTAGAGATTCCAGAGACTATTATATCATAGAAATAGTAGAGACTCTTGACATTTGTGGTCATGGAGATCATTCAAATTTTATAAATTCTAAAAATCCTGCAAATTTTCTATATTATAGAAAGTTTCAGAGATGATAATGATCTTATTTCATGAATTCTAAACATAAATTTCACAAAAAAAATGTAGATTCTAGGGATTTCAGTGTTTTTAGTGAAGCCATGGATTGTTATACTTTAAAAACTTTAAATGTGCTCCAGGTGCCAGAAAGAGAAAAGCTTTTTGAATTTCCTGAAATTTTCAAAAAAAAAAAAATGACGTCCAGGGATACTTGAAAACTTTAAACTAAGAATTACACGGATTCCAAGAATTTCAGATATTTACAAAGTCAACTGAAACTAAAATTTCTGAAGAAATTTCTTAAGAAATAAAAAACACGTTTTTGAGTATCGTGTTGTTCGAAGGATACTATAACTGGGTATATTTAGATGTTTTAAGGCTATTTTTTATCTCCTGCTGTCACCTTATCTGGAATTTTGTTTTCCAGAATCATCATAATAAAACTTTATTTACACCAATTCAAACACTTTCTTTATTTTCAACGACAAACACATTTTTGAAACCAGTCAGACAGGTTTTAGGGCACAAGCCACCAAAACGCTATAAAAATAATGGACTTGTTCGCCATCACTACGTTCGTCAATGCCCACCAAGCTGCATTTTTTTACAGCTTCTTTAAAATCTTCAACAAATTTCGCCCGCTCATCCTGGGAAACAACTTTTCCAATAGGAACTATCGACAAACCATGATCTAAAAACACCCATTAATCGTTGATAAAATCACAAATTCCACATACCCAGAAACTCGTTTAAACCACCATACGTGAATTTTCGCTCCTCGTATTTGCAAAATTGTACATCGAAGCCGGCGTCTTTCAGAAAACAAGTAAGCTTTTCTTCGGGGTTGTCCGAGTCTCGATAGGGAGAAATAACGTTTTTGTAACCCACCATAGCCGGTGGCCACTTGTTTTCTTCGGTCATGCTATCACAAATTTCAAAAAAGGGTACATTTACTATGACCGTCGCAAAAAAATTTCCGCCAGGTTTCAGCATTTCGAAGACGTTTTGAAGAGCTTGTGGGGTACTGTAACAAGCGTAAAATTGCCAAAAATTAATGTTTTGCACTTACTTGACTTGTGGTATCAAGTTGAAACAAAAAAACGAAAAAATGTGGTCGAAATAACCCTTGAAGGATTTGTTGTAGTCGACGATGTCCATCTGAACGGTCTCGATTCGCTCGTCGTGGAATCTGTTTCTGGCAAAATCAACCATTTTTTTGGACTTGTCGGAAACGACGAGTTTCTTGAAGTTGGGTAAGCGTGGAAGTAGAGATTCAAGGGTCACTGAGGCATCGCCAGCACCCACGTCCAAAATTGTGGCGTCTTTTTTCAGATTTAGTACTTCGAAATAGGTGTCTAGGAAATGGTTGGCGTCAAATTTTTGCATTTGACAACTTTTTGAGTAGAGAAGAGGGTCTTCGTTCATTTTTTGTTGTTCTGAGACAGCGTGAGAGTGTTTGCGATTTTATTAAAAAATGATAACTGTACAAATACTGATAAGACACATACGTAATTGCTTTAAACTGCATAATGGGTTTAATCTGACCTTGGTGATTAGAATATCTTTTGACAAAAATAACTCTTAAATTAAGTAATACTAATCTGAACGACTACAAAAACATGAATTTTTCGACGTGGGTTAAATAGCTCTTGATGCACAAGCCACCAGGACGCTGTAAAACATGATAACTTTTTCACCCTTCGTAGCAAATTTATCAGCCTTCTTCACTTCTTCTGTAAAATCTTCAATAAATTCCACTTGTTTATTTTGTGAAGCCACGTTCAAAACAGGTACTATCGCCAAGGCAAAATCTACAAAACTCTTGGTCAGACCACAAAACAACCATAAGGGTTAACCTACCCAGAAATTGCTTAAACCCATCGAAAGTATAAGTTCTTTCCTCGTACACGCAAACTTGAACCTCAAAACCAGCTTGCTCCAAAAAAAATCTCAGCTTCGCTTCAGGTTTGTCCACACCTCGGTACGCATTTTTTTTGAAAGGTACCATAGCCGGGGGCCACTTTTGCTTCTTGATCATGTTGTCGCAAGTTTCAAACAGAGGTGAATCAACGATGAAAGTGGCAAACAAATTTCCTCCAGGCTTTAACATTGAGAAAATGTTTCGCATAGCTTGTGGACTTCTACAAAGCTCATGATCATGATGTATACTAAAGAACAAATTTTTTTTACCTCTCTTCCGGCACGTAATTCAAACAATAAAACGACAAAACGTGATCGAAGCGATTTTTGAAAACTTCGTCGTCGTTGTCCGAGATGTCCATCCTGACGACTTCGATTCGTTGGTCGTTGAATCTCCTCCTGGCGAAGTTTACCATTTTTTCGGATTTATCGGAAACCACGAGTTTAGCGAAGGGTGGTAAGTGAGGGATTATCACGTCGAGGGTGATCGTGCCGTCGCCGGCACCCACGTCCAGAATTGAAGCGCCGTTTTTCAGGTTCAACTGGTTCAAATAAGTTTTGAGGAAATGCGTGGCGTCAAATTTTTGCATTTGGCAGTTTTTTGAGTACAGATCTGGGTCTTCGTTCATTTTGGTAGTGTGTTAAACTTAATACAACACTGCGCACTGCAATTACGTAAAAAGTTGATATAAATGCTGATAGCAGTGAAACTGATAAGAAAATGATTAAGTAGTTGTTTCAACTACCGTATGAATTTGTCTCGACATTGATAGGTCATACATGGCGTTACGTTTGATGCCTCGATTACAAATTATGTTACTCGCGCGATGTTTATTAGACCATTAGTTGTATAGTGAGATGAAACACCATCTTGTTAAAACAAAATTTTCAACTCTATTGATTTAGAAATACATTGAATTAATAATCAAAAATTGATAGCAAGTTATTTCGACAGAACTTCCCTCGCTTCTGAAGTACAATTCAACAAATACTGTTTCTCTGAAAAATTATAAAATTTGATTTTGTGGAATTTTAGTTTTTAGTAATAACTTCTGCAGAGTAATATAGGTTCTAATCACTGTGTAATAGAAAAAAAGAAGGGTTGTAAAAAAGACAGTTGGGGGCCCAGAGAAAATTTAATATTTTTAAATTAAGACATTTGGGACCCCCGGGAAGGTTCTAATTTCTTAAAAAAAATACATTTGGGACCCCCGAGAAGGTTTTATATTTTTAAAAAAGTACATTGGGACCCCCGAGAAGATTTCACATTTTTAAAAAAAGACAGTTGGGGCCCTCGAGAAGGTTTCACATTCTTAAAAATAGTACATTCGGGACCCCCGAGAAGGTTTTACATTTTTAAAAAAGACATTTGGGAACCCTGAGAAGGTTTTACATTTTTAAAAAAGACAGTTGGGAACCTCGAGAAGGTTTTACATTCTTAAAAAAAGTACATTTATCACCCCCGAAAAGCTTTCACATTTTTAAAAAAGAACATTGGGACCCCCGAGAAGGTTTCACATTTTTAAATAAAGACATTTGGGGCCCCCGAGAAGGTGGTGACATTTTTAAAAAAGACAGTTGTGAAGCCCGAGAAGATTTTACATTAAAAACAAAAACAGTTGGGACCCCCGAGAAGGTTTTACATTCTTAAAGAAAAGTACATTTGGGATCCCCGAGAAGGTTTGACATTTATAAAAAAGTACATTGGGACCCCCGAGAAGGTTTCACATTTTTAAAAAAAGACAGTTAGGTCCCTCGAGAACATTTGACATTTTTAAAAAAGACAGTTGTGAACCTCAAGAATATTTTACATTAAAAATAAAAACAGTTTGAACCCCCGAGAAGGTTTTACATTCTTAAAGAAAAGTACATTTGGGACCCCCGAGAAGGTTTTACATTTTAAAAAAAGTACATTGGGACAACCGAGACGGTTTAACATTTTTAAAAAAAGACAGTTGGGCCCCCGAAGAGGTTTGACATTTTTAAAAAAGACAGTTGTGAACCCCGAGAAGATTTTACGTTAAAAACAAAAACAGTTGGGACCCCCGAGAAGGTTTTACATTCTTAAAGAAAAGTACAGTTGGGATCTCCGAGAAGGTTTTAAATTTTAAAAAATCGTACATTCGGGACCCCCGAGAAGGTTTTACATTTTTAAAATAGTACATTAGGACCCCCGAGAAGGTTTGACATTTATAAAAAAAGTACATTGGGACCCCCGAGAAGGTTTCACATTTAAAAAAAAAGACAGTTGGGGCCCTCGAGAACGTTTGACATTTTTAAAAAAGACCGTTGTGAACCTCGAGAAGATTTTACATTAAAAACAAAAACAGTTGGAACCCCCGAGAAGGTTTTACATTCTTAAAGAAAAGTACATTTGGAACCCCCGAGAAGGTTTCACATTTTAAAAAAAGTACATTGGGACAACCGAGACGGTTTAACATAAAAAAAAAATACATTTGGCGCCCCAGAGAAGATTTTACAATTCTAAAAAAGACAGTTGGGAACCCCGAGAAGGTTTTACATTCTTAAAAAAAAGTACATTTGGGACCCCCGAGAAGGTTTCACATTTTAAAAAAAGTACATTGGGACAACCGAGACGGTTTAACATTTAAAAAAGAATACATTTGGTGCCCCAGAGAAGCTTTTACATTTCTAAAAAAGACAGTTGGGAACCCCGAGAAGGTTTTATATTAAAAACAAAAACAGTTGGAACTCCCGAGAAGGTTTTCCATTCTTAAAGAAAAGTACATTTGGGATCCCCGAGAAGGTTTTACATTTAAAAAAAAGTACATTGGGACAACCGAGACGGTTTAACATTAAAAAAAAAATACATTTGGAGCCCCAGGGAAGATTTTACATTTCTAAAAAAGACAGTTGGGAACCCCGAGAAGGTTTTATATTAAAAACAAAAACAGTTAGGACCCCCGAGAAGGTTTTACATTCTTAAAAAAAGTACATTTGGGACCCCCGAGAAGGTTTTACATTTTTAGAAAAAGACACTTGGAATTTCCAAGAAGGTCTCATAGTCTAAAGAAAACCTTTGGCGTCCCCTACAAGGTTTTACATTATTAAAAAAGATATTTGGCGTCCTCGAGAAGCTTTTACATTAAAAAAAAAAAACATTTGGGAACCCCGAGAAGGTTTTACATTCATTCATTAATTTTTTGAGCCACCTGTATAAGCAAATCTAAAAACTATGAATGCGATGATAAATCACAAATAAAAACTCATCACATTTAGCACATTTCGGGTAGATTTAGGAAGGCAAATCAGTCTTATCTTAGCAAGTACTAGCCCCCCACCCATCCTTTACTTTTTTAGAGGGTATGTCATTTCCCAAAGTCAGTCTTATCTTAACAAGTACTACGACCACCCACCAGCCCCCTAGTTTCTCCGAGGATATGTCATTTCCCAAAGTCAGTCTTATCTTAACATATACTAGGCCCGCCCACCCGCCCCCTATTTACTTCGAAGATATGTCATTTGCCAAAATCAGCCTTATTTTAGCAAGGACTAGCCCCGCCCACCCACCCTTTACTTTCTTAGAGGGTATGTCATTTGCTAAAATCAGTCTTATCTCAACAAGTACTAGGCCCGCCCACCCGCCCCCTATTTTTTCCGAGGATATGTCATTTGCCAAAGTCAATCTTATCTTAACATGTACTAGGCCCACCCACCCGCCCCCTATTTTCTCCGAGGATATATCATTTGCCAAAGTCAGTCTTATCTTAACAAGTACTAGGCCCGCCCACCCGCCCCGTAGTTTCTCAGACGATATGTCATTTGCCAAAATAAAACTCATGTTAGCAAGTACTGGCCCCGCCCACTCGCTCTTTATTTTCGCAGAAGGTAGTACTTGCCAAGATAGGGCTTATTTTGGCAAATGACATATCCTCTGAAAAAATAGGGGCGGGTGGGCGGGGCTAGTACTTGCTCAAATAAGATTTGATTTTGGCAGACGCCATAGCCTCTAAGAAAATAGAGGGCGGGTGGGTGGGGTAATACTTTCAAAGGTAAAACTTAATTTGGCAAATGGTGTAAACTCTGAGAAAGTAGGTGGCGGGTGGGCGTGGCTAGCACTTGCTAAGACAATTTAAAAGGCGTTAAATTGCAAATTTTCATAGTAACGAGATAAATTCTTAAATCTGATTGGAATTTTTCTGAGGCCTCTTGTAATATATTCAGCAATATTTTGATGTGACGTCATGAATTTTTTAAATATATTTTGATTAAAAATTTATTATGCTTACGATAAATTTAAAACATCTGCAAGATTTCAAAGCATACAATTTTGCAGATTCAAATTAAATTGCTTATAATTTTCATTTTTTTTTTCCAAAAATCTGGACGTTTTTTGGTAAAAACTCAAAGGGAGTCATAAACTACATTTATGTAGGACTATATAATTTTATACAATTTAAAACCCTTTTACTATGTTCTATTTTGAAGTGACGTCATCAATTTTGTAAATAAATAATAATCATTAGGACGGCAGATAGACAGACAGACAGACGGACAGACAGACGGACAGACAGACGAACAGACAGACAAAGGAAGAAAATTGCGTAAAAGGTCACAAAAACAAATTATAATAATTACTATGTGTAAAATATTGTTATAGATAATAATAAAAGCAGGACTACAACAAATACGTAGGTAGATTGCAAGTGGTATCTACGCTATTAAAAGCAATCTACGCTAATACTATACATTGTGGTTCTAGGTCGAACTTTCGACCTGATTTACATAAAAGTGCATTGTGTCTATTTTAAGATCCAAACACAAATTTTTTAATTAGCAAGTAACCGAAAATTCCTACGAGTTACGGTTTGGTTGCAAAAACCACTAAAAATTGATAATCGACTCTGATCGTATCTTCTTTTCCATTTTTCATTTTTATGGTCACTCGTCGATGTTTTCTGACTTCGTTCATGTAGTCCTCTTTGTACTGACCCATTTCTTCTTTGGAAATTTTCTTAATAAACGGATTCACCGCTGAAGCCCACACTACAAAAAAATCATTTTCACCATTTTCGACTCAAAAATTGACTTACACCAGAATTCGTCAAAATCGTTAATATGGTGCGCATTTATCAGCTCACACTTGTATTCGACAAAGCCGACGTCCTGAAGAGTTCCTTCCACCTCTTGGACGGCATCGACAGACCGATTATAGGGTCCGACGTCGCCAAAATTGGCCATGAACGGCTGCCACCTCTTCAAAGTCGACAGTTTCTCATACACATCAAACACCAAATGGTTGCTTATGACAGTCAACAAAATTTCTCCTCCGGGTTTCAACAACTCAAACAAATTTTCGAACGCTTTTCTGAAAATTGGGTAAAACAAATTACTAAAAAGTGGCTTTTTACCTCTGCTCTTTCACTAGTTGGAGACAATAGAACGAAAGAACGTGGTCGAAGTTGGCTCGGAGTCTTCCGGGTAAGTTCTTGGTTGCTATGTCGAGCTGCAAAAGTTCGACATTTGAGTAATTTTTGCATCTGGATCTAGCATGACTCAGCATGTCTTCGTCGATATCCACAGCCACTAATTTCTGGAAATCTGAAGGCACGCGAGGGAGCGCTATTTCGAACAAGACTTGTCCATCACCAGTCCCCACGTCTAAGATGTTTTCTCGAGAGCGCCATTTCAGACGATGGAAATAGTGATCCACGACGTAGCGAGCGTCTCTAGTTTGCAAAGAATTGTGATTCGCGTAGAGAACTGGGTCGATCATCTTCAACGAAAAAATGTAGAATGAAAGCTTGAGATCTTCTTCGTTCAAGAAAAACCAAAGACAGTTAAAGTGTAACTAAAGTTTTCTAACATTTTCAGCGTTAATGTAGTGGGTCGTTATCAGAGTCGTGTCGAAAATTTTGTTCCACGATGAATTTTTCAGATATCCTTGAACAAAGGCGGCTATTTCTGTTCCAATCGCTAGTCCAGTCCTGATTTTCATTATAACAAACAAAAATTTTAGATAAAAATAATGGCCATATTTTTGGTAAATTTCGGAATAAATCAAAGATGTTATCAGCGAAATGTCGGTGGCGGTAGTAGAACAAGCGATAAAAATTTTAAACATCTTTTAATCATTAAAGTAATCGGAAAATACGCATTTATGAAGAACGTAACGCTAAACACAGAAAATAGTTCGTTCAATGAAGTGCACACTGATAATTCAAATGGTAACGAAGTTAAAAGTAGAGAAAGAAGAATTCAAACCATAATAAAAGAAGAGGCAACAAAAGAGAGAAATAAAGGAAAAATGGTTAGAATGGGATATAAAAAGTTAACAGTAGATGGCTGAAATTTTGAATGGAATGAAGAAGAAGGAGGATGCAGATAGGGAAATCGGAAAAAAGGAAGCTGGTACAAAATTAGGAGAAAAAGGGGTGAAGGTACTGTTTTGAAATGTCCAAGGGTTGCGAAAAAAGAAAAAGGAGTTCTGGGACTACGTGAGAAAATTTGATGTTGTGAGGCTAGTAGAGACGACTTGGGTACAAAGAGAAAACTGGGGGAAATTTGAAGAGACACTACCACAAGATATGTGTGGGACAAAGGAAAAGAAAAAGGGGAGAGCAAGCGGGGGAATAGTAATGGGAATTCGAAAAGAAATGCAAGAATTGGAAAAGGGAAGTAATAATAAAAACGGACTAATGAAGAAAGTAATACAGCTGGGAAATAATAACCGTTTATAGCAAGAAAATGGAGGAAACCAAGATAAACATAGAAAAGGAAACAAACGAAAAAGGAGATGAAAAAATACTTATAGGAGGGGATTTTAACGTAAGATTTGGCGATAAGGAGACAAGAATAATAGATAAAGAAAATGGAGAGAAAAGGAGATCAAAAGATAAAGCAAATAACAAAGAAGGGAAAATATTGTGGAAGATACTAGAAAAAATGGGATGGGAAATTTTGAATGGAAACAAGGAAGGGGATGAAGAAGGAGAATGGACACGTACGTAGGGGCTAGGAGAGAATCAATTAGAGACTATGGGATTGTCAACGAAGAGGCGTGGGAAAAATAGAAAGTTTCAAAGTGGGGGAAAGGCTAGAGTCAGACCACGTGCCACTAGAAACAAAAATCAAAGGAAAAGAGCAAGAGTACGGAAAACAAGAGAGAAGAAACGAAAGAAAAGAAATAGAAAAAAGAATATAGCATGAAGAGGGAATTTAAAGATACAGAAACAGACTAGAAAAAAGAAATTCGAAGTAAAAGAAGATATAGAAGCTATGATAGCAGAACTGATCAACTTAATTATAGAAGCTACGGAAAAAAGAAAGATACACATATGCCAATGGATGGAACGGAGAATGTAGTGAGTTGAAGAGAAAAGCAAGGGAAAAATTAAGAAAATGGAAGAATAACAAGGAAACCTAAAAGCAAGAGACAATTATAGGAGAAAATGTAAAGAAAGAAAAAGAGAAAAACGAAGAGAAGACAATAAAGTCCCTGAAAACAGAAGAAGTATGGAGATATATAAACAAGGAACGGAGAAGGAAGACTGAAGTCAGTAGGAAAATCAAGATAAGACTGATTTTGCCAAACAATATACCCGCTACCCTTTATTTTCTTACAGGGTAGGTGATTTGCCAATATCAGTCTTATGTTAGCAGGTACTAGCCCCGCCCACCCACCCTCTCTTTTCTTAGAGGATATGTCATCTGCCAAAGTCAGTCTTATCTTGGCAGCTACTAGCCTTCCAAGTAAATACAGGGTGGGTGGGTGGGGCCAATACTTGTCAAGATAAGACTGATTTTACCAAGTGATATACCTTCTAGCCTTCATTTTCTTAGAGGGAATATCATTTGGCAAAATCAGTATTATCTTAGCAGGTACTAGCCCTCTAAGAAAATAAGGGTGGGTGGATGGTACTAGTGCTGGCCAAGATAACGCTGATATTGCCAAATATCATACTCTCTAAGAAAATAAAGGGTGGGCGGATGGGGTCAACACATGCCAAAATAAGACTAATTTTGCCAAATAATATACCCCCTACCCTTCATTTTCTTAGAGGATAGGTGATTTGCCAATATCAGTCTTATCTTAGCAAGTATTAGCCCCGCCCACCCACCCTCTCTTTTCTTAGAGGATATGTCATCTGCCAAAATCAGTCTTATCTTGGCAGCTACTAGCCTTCCAAGTAAATAAAAGGTGGGTGGGTGGGGCCAATACTTGTCAAGATAAGACTGATTTTACCAAGTGATATACCTTCTAGCCTTCATTTTCTTAGAGGGTATATCATTTGGCAAAATCATTATTATCTTAGCAGTTACTAGCTCTCTAAGAAAATAAAGGGTGGGTGGGCGGGGCAAGTGCTGACCAAGATAAGACTGATTTTGGCAGATGACATATCCTCCAAGAAAACAGAGGGAGGGCGGGTGGGGTCAACACTTGCCAAAATAGGATTAATTTTGCCAAATTATATACCCGTTACCCTTCATTTTCTTAGAGGGTAGATGATTTGCCAATATCAGTCTTATCTTAGCAGGTACTAGCCCCGCCCACCCACCCTCTCTTTTCTTAGAGGATATGTCATCTGCCAAAATCAGTCTTATCTTGGCAGCTACTAGCCTTCTAAGTAAATACAGGGTGGGTGGGTGGGGCCAATATTTGTCAAGATAAGACTGATTTTACCAAGTGATATATCTTCTAGCCTTCATTTTCTTAGAGGGTATATCATTTGGCACAATCAGTCTTATCTAAGCAGGTACTAGTTCTCTAAGAAAAAAAAGAACGGATGGGCGGGGTTAGTACTGACCAAGATAAAGTTGATTTTGGCAGATGACATATTTTCTAAGAACAGAGAGGGTGGGCGGGTGGGGTCAACACTTGCCAAAATAACACTAATTTTGTCAAATAATATACCCGCTACCCTTCATTTTCTTAGAGGGTAAGTCATTTGCCAATATCAGTCTTATTTAAGCAGGTACTAGCCCCGCCCACCCATCCTCTCTTTTCTTAGAGGATATGTCATCTGCCAAAATCAGTCTTATCTTGGCAGCTACTAGCCTTCCAAGTAAATAAGGGTGGGTGGATGGGGCCAATACTTGTCAAGATAAGACTGATTTTACCAAGTGATACACCTTCTACCCTTCATTTTCTTAGAGGGTATATCATTTGGCAAAATCAGTATTATCTTAGCAGGTACTAGCTCTCTAAGAAAATAAAGGGTGGGTGGGCGGGGCTAGTGCTGACCAAGATAAGACTGATTTTGGCAGATGACATATCCTCCAAGAAAAGAGAGGGAGGGCGGGTGGGGTCAACACTTGCCAAAATAGGATTAATTTTGCCAAATTATATACCCGTTACCCTTCATTTTCTTAGAGGGTAGGTGATTTGCCAATATCAGTCTTATCTTAGCAGGTACTAGCCCCGCCCACCCACCCTCTCTTTTCTTAGAGGATATGTCATCTGCCAAAATCAGTCTTATCTTGGCAGCTACTAGTCTTCTAAGCAAATAAAGGGTGGGTGGGTGGGGCCAATACTTGTCAAGATAAGACTGATTTTACCAAGTCATATACCTTCTACCCTTCATTTTCTTAGAGGGTATATCATTTGCTAAAATCAGTCTTATCTAAGCAGGCACTAGTTCTCTAAGAAAATAAAGGGCGGGCGGGCGGGCGGGGCTAGTGCTGGCCAAGATAAAGCTCAATTCAAGAAATGGTCCGAAAAGCTAACAAAGTGATAGGGAATAGGAGAGAGAAAATTTGGACATGATTATAAGAGAAGAATGATGATATTTGATGGTTTGATCAAAAGTGTATTTATGTACGGAGCTGAGATTTGGGGATGGAGGGAACATGAAGAAATAGAGAGAGTGCAAGAAAAATACTTGAAATGGACATTGGGATTGGAAAAGTATACGCCGGGGTATATAGTGAGAGAAGAAACAAAAAGGGAGAAAATCAGAGTGGAAGCGGGTAAAAGGGCGGTTGGATTTGAAGAGAAGTTTAGTGAGAGAGGTGATTGTAAAGTATTGCAAGAATGTTGGAAAGAAATAAGAAAGGAAGGTGGAAAACATGTTTGGAACGAAAGAGACAAGTATGTGAAGAAATAGAGAGAATGAGAGAAATGGGAAGGAAAGAAGAACTGAGTGTAAGAGATAAGGATATAGATAAGCAAGAACGCAGATCGAGAATATCGGAGTCTAGATATAATGCAGAGTGTAGAAAAATAGTAAAGGATAAAGTACCAAAGTACAGAGAGAGAGTACAAAGGAGAAAAAAATGATGGCGAGATTTAGGTGTGGAAATGAAGAGAAAGAGAATAATTTTTGGATGGATGAAACTGACAGAAGGTGTAGGATATGTTGAAGGATTAAGAGAATCGGAGGGCTGAACTGGATGAAAGAAGTACAGAAGATAAGGGAAGTAAGGCAAAGGGTGGACAAGCAGAAAGAATAGAACTAATTTATTAGAATTAATTTATTAAGCCTGTAAGGCAAATAATAAATTAATACTACTACTATATTTTGGTTCCAACAAGATGATGTTCCGCCTCACGCTTGTTGTTATCCACGGTAACTATAATTTTGGGGCTTGGAAGCAAGAACAACCAGAACTGGATGAGAGTCGAAAATTTCTTCCCCCACTTCCATTCTATTCGTAGCCTTTACCACGTTCCTCAACTCAAATTGGGAAATTAAAAATTGGAAAATTGAGAAATCGAAAAAGTAAAAAAGTAAAGTCGAAAAATCGTAAACTTAAAAAACTGAAAAATTGAAAAGCAAAAACCTGAAAAACCGAACAATTAAAGAATTGAAGAATTGAAAAATCGAAACTTTGGAAATTCGAGAAATGGGAAAATAAAAAAATACTTCAGAAATCGGAAATATTTAGAAATCGTAAAATTGAAGA